AGTTTAAACTGGTGATTAATAATTCAAAAATTGCATACATAATATCATAAGTAAATTGAAAAGAAACTACATATTCTTACTAAGGCTCATGGCCTTGCCCTAGCAAACGGAAATTAGTTATGAATAATCATAAAACAAAATATTATTAAGAATATGGATAGAAAACACCTTGAAAATAAACTTGAATTATCAAAAGCTCTCTAAGCCTAGCAAAATGTGATGCGTTCTCCTCCTCTTTCTCTCTAATGGCTAAATAACCTTATTTATACTACTACAAAATAAAATCCTACCTAGAAAAGGTAAATAAATAGGAAATAAAAGGTTTCCTATTTGAACTGAAATTCGGACTTCTCAGAAAATTAGATTTTTGACTAACCAAATCAACTCTGATTTGGTCCCCAAAAGATCTCTTTTGAAAGATGAAGACGTCCCCTACAAATCTTTAGAAGGAATCTTCCTCAAAATATGCCATCTTGACCTCCAAAATGCTGAAAATGTCCAAAAATGTCAATCTGGGAACACTGCGCACTGGATCTTTATTTCATTGCCACGGTCAAATGGCTTAGTAGAAAAATCTAAAACTTTGATATAATCACTCCAAAATTCATCTGTTTGATCACTTTTTTCTCCAGAGGAAATTGAATGTCCTACATTGAAAATACATAACAAAGTATCAAAATTCTACCAAAATAACCAATAAATTAATACTAAGAATAGGGTAAAATATATAGTATGATATGGACTCATCAGTACCGGCAACGAGTGACCCAAATTTAATGAATTTACTAGATAATCTAGCAAACAATGGCCAGACAACAAAGTTAAACTCTTCGGCCTTGTTTGATATAGAGGGTCGGATTAAAATTAAAAAGACATTATTATCAAGGTAAGTTGAAGGAAGAAACGAAACATTTGTGTTCAAGTTGGATGTAGAAGCATTACCAGAAAATACCACTTGCCCTACAAATCTTGCCTGACAGAATGCATTTGTGTTCAAGTTGAATGTAGAAGATGATTACTGACCCATTAAGAAAACTTATCAATATTTCACTCCCTAGCTAAAATAGTATTATTAATGAAAGAGAGAAGTTTCATTCATGTCTAATTCCCATCTAATCGCGTCAAAATAAATATATATATATATATATATATATAAAAAAGAGAAACTTGATATAGGTCCAATTTTTTGAGCCAATAGTAGGAATAGTCCAATTTATTAAAATAAGTCCAATTCCTTAAATCTTATTATTTTATTATCAATAATTATCTCTTCACTGATAAGATTTATTATAAAAAATCAAATTTCTTCCTAATTATCTCTTTGATTAATTTTTTTTTTTTTTTTTGGTTCTTTCTTGTTCTTTATCCCGTTTTAAACCCCATTTATAGATTTTATTTTTTATTTTTATAATCAACCTATATCACAAGTTAATTATATTTATCTACCTATATAACATATTCTTTTTTATAATCAAGTAAGATTCATGTGTCTTGCTTGTAGATATATTATGTTTTTTTCTACCCTTTAGTTAGGTTTCATAAATTACTAATAGGTATGATATACATTCATATTTTTGTTACTTGAGTTAGGGTAGAATGACTTACAGATAGATTTATGACAATATATTATTTTTTTGTTATATGATATTAAATATATTTTTTGGGGTTGAAAATGCATAATATTAGAAGATTTTAAATGATTTTTAATATTTTTAGAAAATATAAATGAGCATTAAAAAAATAAATACATATAATTAGGTAATTGGACTCACTCCTAAAAACCATCTATATTTTTGGACCTGGATCTAAAAGGCCCCCCCCCCCCCCACCCAAACAAAAAAAAAAAAAAAAAAAACCAATATCCTTTGCCTTCAATACACCTTGAATTTTTAGGCTTATTTATTAGCTTTTTAGTCAAATGATGTTTAAAATTGGCATAACTTTTCACTTTGGTGTTTGAGATTGAAAATAGATAAAAGTAGTCCATTAGTTTGTCTATGGCCAATCATTTTGGTCATTCCCTGAAAAATATATTCATTGAATGGAAAAGGAAGTGAAGAGGTTGATTGGACACAAATACCCTTAATTTAACGGAAAATTTTCACATAATGATCAAAATTATTAACGGTGAACAAACCCAGGGACCACTTCCATCGATTTTCAACCACAATGACCAAAGTGAAAAGTTGTGACAATATCAGAGATTATTTTAGCTTAAAATCCTTATTTCAAGGGAGGCCTTGGTTATACTCAAGGGACATGTCTTTCTTGAATAGATTTTGGTGACGTCACTAGTAGAAAAACATGTTTGCGCGACGGAATCTTGCGCGACGCAGCAAATTTCGTCGCGCAAAGTAGTTTTGCGCGACACAAAACACAAAACGTCGCGCAAAAGGCCTTTGCGCGACTATTCTTTGCGCGACGTTATACTGCGTCGCGCAAAACAGCTTTGCGCGACGTACAAGTTTCTACGTCGCGTAAAACATCTTTGCGCGACGAAAGCTAACGTCGCGCAAAGAATTGTTGCGCAAAGGCCTTTTGCACAACACACAAACGTTGCGCAAGATCTTGGCGCCAAATAAAAAATACTTTACCATTTTTCTTCCAACTTTGCGCGACGTACGTGCACTTGCGTCGTGCATAGTCTTTTTTTTTTTTTTTTTTTTTTGGGGGTTTTTTCTTGCATTGCCTTTTTCTCTTGTGGTACCCACTTGTGTAAATGTTTTAAATTGATGATGGAATTCGTTCATTGTATTCATATAGAGTTAAAGAGTGTAACTGTAAAAAATCATCAAAACTAGAGTTAAAATAACCATTAAATCGTTATTTTTCATTTATAACCGTCGAAAAGTTTTGTCCCGTTACTTGAACTCTGAATGTTTGTTTTTTTGCGATTTTTGGCGTATGTGATCTCAAAATATAAACAAACAAGTTTGATGGTTGGATCGTTGACACTAATTTTGTACAATGCGTTTCTCATCAAAATCAATAGTATATGTATTTACTAAGTACATTTTCATTTATTTATTTTGTACTCATACGCAACAAGGTTAAAAAAAAAGAAAGAAAAACAAAGTTTGACCGACGTAGGTATAACTATGTCGCGCAAAGTTTTTTTTTTTTTTTTTTTTTGGTGAGGGGGTTCTTGGATCGTTGTATATACAAACAAGTTTGACAGTTAGATCGTTGAAACTAATTTCTTACAATGCGTTTCCCATCAAAATCAATGGTATATGTATTTACTAAGTACATTTTCATTTATTTATTTTGTACTCTTAAGCAAAAGGGGCAAAAAAAAAAAAAAAAAAAAAAAACTTTGCGCGACGTAGGTACAACTGCGTTGCGCAAAGCGTTTTGCGCGACGTAGAGGCACCTTCGTTGCGCAAAGTTTTTTTTTTTTTTTTTTTTGGGGTTTTTTCTTGCATTGCCTTTTTCTTTTGTGGTATCCACTTATGTAAATGTTTTAAATTGATAATCGAATTAGTTCATTGTATTTATATAGGGTTAAAGAGTGTAACTGTAAAAAATCATCAAAATCAGAGTTAAAATAACCGTTAAATCGTGATTTTTCATTTATAGCCGTCGAAAAGGTTTGTCCCGTTACTTGATTTTTGCATGTTTGTTTTTTGTGATTTTTGGCATACACGATCTCGAAGCATATACAAACAAGTTTGACGGTTGGATTGTTGAAACAAGTTTCGTACAATGCGTATCTCAGCAAAACATTAGATTCACTAACAATTGGAGTTTATTTATACTTTCATTAAGTATAACACAAGATTTTGTGGTATCCACTTTTGTAAATATTTTAAATTGACGATCGAATTAGTTCATTGTATTCATATAGGATCAAGGAGTGTAGCTTTAAAAAATCATCAAATTCGGAGTTAAAATAACCGTTAAATCGTGATTTTTCATTTATAGCCGTCGAAAAGGTTTGTCCCGTTACTTGATCTCTGCATGTTTGTTTTTTGCAATTTTTGGCGTATGTGATCTTGAAGCATATGCAAACAAGTTTGACGGTTGGATCATTGAAACTAGTTTCGTACAATGTGTATCCGATCAAAACATTATATTCACTAACACTTGGAGTTTATTTATACTTTCATTAAGTATAACATAAGATTTTGTAGTATTCACTTGTGTAAATATTTTAAATTGACGATCGAATTAGTTTATTGTATTCATATAGGATCAAGGAGTGTAGCTGTAAAAAAATCATCAAAATCGGAGTTAAAATAACCGTTAAATCATGATTTTTCATTTATAGCCGTCGAAAAGGTTTGTCCCGTTACTTGATCTCTGCATGTTTGTTTTTTGTGATTTTTGGTGTATGCGATCTCGATCCATATACAAACAAGTTTGACGGTTGGATCGTTGAAACTAGTTTCGTATAATGCGTATCCCATCAAAACATTAGATTCACTAACACTTGGAGTTTATTTATACTTTCATTAAGTATAACATAAGATTTTGTGGTATCCACTTGTGTAAATATTTTAAATTGGCAATCGAATTAGTTTATTGTATTCATATAGGATCAAAGAGTGTAGCTGTAAAAAATCATCAAAATCGGAGTTAAAATAACCGTTAAATCATGCTTTTTCGTTTATAACCGTCGAAAAGTTTTGTCCCGTTACTTGATCTCTGCATGTTTGTTTTTTGCGATTTTTGGTGTTCAATGGTATATATATTTACTAAGTGGATTTTAATTTATTTATTTTGTACTTATAGCACTTAAGAAATTGAATGATATATATGTAAAAAAAATTATTGTGAGTTTTTGTTAGAAAAATATATTATTGTTTGAAAAGAAGAAAGTCACATTTTTAGTAATTTTTATAATAATTTAAAAAAAATACTTTGCGCGACGCCTTAATGTGGTCGTCGCGCAAAACAACTTTGCGCGACGTCAAATTATACACCTACGTCGCGCCAGTTGTGATAATTTTGGCGGTGCAATAGTAAAAAATTGGCGGTTTTTTTCAATTTTCCAAATTTGGACAAAATCTTGAACCCTCCTCCCTCTTTCTTTCCCATGAACCCAGAATCTAGACAAAGTTACGAGGCACTGAGCTTATACCTTCTATTCGACGCCAACCTTGGCCGTACAATTTCAAGGCTACAAGGAACTTCTGATGCTCCTCCTCTAAATCTTGAACCCTCCCTCTTTCTTTCCCCTTAGACCCCAAATCTCCCTCTCACTCATATCTTCCTCTCTTTTTCCCGTGAACCCTAAAATCAAGGTAAGGGTTTCTGATTTTGGAGGTTGGTTCTGATTCGATAGGGTTTCAGATTTGTGAAGGTTTGATGTTATGTAGGTCTGTTGATTTTGTTCAGTTGATAGGGTTTGAGGTTCTGATTTTATTTTTTTTTATTTTTTTTCATTTAAAGAGTGTAGCTGTAAAAAATCATCAAAATCAGTTTGACGGTTAGATCGTTGAAACTAGTTTTGTACAATGAGTTTCCTATCAAAACGATAGATTCACTAATACTTAGAGTTTATTTATACTTTCATACATACAAATACTTACATACATACATACTACAATATGACGTTGTTCAGAACGATCGAAGAGTTTAGGGACGCAAATCTGGTTATGGAGTGTAAATTCCCTCTTCTCCTTGGTGATTGCATTGAGGTTTTGATCTTTGTGATTCCACAGGCTTACTCTTGAACTGGTTTCCGCCCATCGATGATTTTCCTTTGTGCTACTCTTGAACTGGGCAGCAGGATTCTTTTGGTCTCCCCCGAAGGTCTGAGCTTACTCCTTTGGTCTGTTTCTTTGTTCAATCTTTCCAATTCGTATTGAAAAGGGTTGGAGGATAACTCAGCCTACGTTTGTCTCCACATGCTTCAATGTATCATTTTCACTTGCCTTGCTTGCTCCCCTTGCAGAAGTGTGTCAACCGTTGAAGATGACTACTCGAGAGCAACTCTAGGTAAGCAATCAGGAATGGATTCCAGGCAGTCGGTTCCAGAACAGAAGACTGACTCCAAGTGCCTCTGATTGCTTTCGTTTACTTTGCCATGCGAGTAATAACAAGGGCAAAGGAAAAGATAGGGAATGAGCATGATATGAGATACTTTTGCTTTAGACCTTGATGATATGAGATACCTTTGCTTTTGAAGAAACGGCGAATGAAGCAGCACATGTATTTGTTGTGGTTGTCTCCACATGCTTCGATCGACCGTTTCCTTCTGCCTCATTTGTACTCCAGGTTTCTGGTATCTTCTTTGGGGGAGAAAAAATTGAGTATTTCAAGAGGCTTCGCTGGGAGTGCGCCCTCAGAGGTGAGGAAGAGTTGGGCATTTTCTTCAAGTTTGCCTTGCCATAAGAGACGAAGGTCGACATATATAGAGATAGTGGCGCCTCTTCGATTTCTGAACGACGCCCCTTCGATTTCTGAGCAGGCGGCCCTTCGATTTCTGAACGAAGCCCCTTCGCTTTCTGAACGACACGTAGTCGTGCGGATGCGGCTCCTTTTTGAAAAAGCTGCACGCGTTTTCTGAAAAGCAGAGAAAGCGTCGCCAAAATTACGCCGGAAATTCCGGCTTTTTTTTTGAATCGGTGGACGCGTCGCCTTGGCTTCTTATAGAGCTATCGATCACCACAACAAACACACTCTGAAGATTTCCCATTCTTGAAAGTCGTCTCCGGCCCTTTGAAATTTACTCCATCCTTTCCTTTTCTTTGAACACTTTTGAAAAATGGCAAACTCATCGAACCTTAGCTTAGAATTGAGCCTTAGCAGTGATACGGCCGCGCCGCGTCAAGGTAACGTATGGCGCCCTTCTTTCTTATCTTCTAACGGTCCTCTTTCAGGTGAAGACTCTGTGATGCAGGACGCCACAACAGCTACAATAGTAGCTAGGAACCTCCTTACTCCAAAAGATAGTAGGCTGCTGTCAGGACGGTCCGATGAGTTGGCCGTTCAAGAGTCCCTCGCACTTAGTGTTCAGTGTGCGAGTTCTGTGTCCAACATGGGCCAACGCCTGCTTGCCCGCTCCCGTCAGGTGGAATCATTGATGGCGGAGGTGGAAAGTCTTAAGCAAGAGATCAAACTGCTTAAATACGAGAATAGAAGTTTGCATGTGCTTGCAAATAACTATTCATCGGGCATGAAGAGGAAGCTTGATGAGCTGCAAGAATCCAATGGTCGAATGCAAAGTGACCGTCAAAGTGACCGTCAAAGGCTTGCAGCTTTCTTCCAGAGGCATATTTTTCCTGGGTCATCCAGCGCTTGGCCAAGTATTGAGGCCTGGAATGCTCTAGCTCCGATGCCTTCCGCTCCGATGGCTTCCGCTCCGATGCCTCCCGCTTCTATGCCTCCCGCTTCTATGCCTTCCGTTTCGACGCCTTCCGCTTCGACGCCTCGTAGTGGGGCTTCATATAAACAACCTTTGTAATTTCGTTCATGTAAGACAATTTTTTATATTATATTATCAAAAGCTGTAATATCTTCATGTTCGTTCATGTAATTTCGCGAAATAGACAGTGGGTAATATTTGGTTAATTTGTTTTGACAATGATACCCTAAGCAAACAAAATAGGAAAGAGAAACAAGAAAATAAAATAAAATAAAACAGAAAACAAGAAAGAAAAGAAAAGGAAAAAGAAAACAAGAAAGAAAATAAAATAAGAAAGAAAATAAAATAAAACCCAATAAAACAGAAAACAAAAACACTACTGGACACTTCGGGGATTCGAAAGCAGGACCTGGTAGTTGGGACTAGTGAAGGCGCGCTGACCAACACGTACATGTACACACTTGTGTCAAAACCTAACAACAGCTAGAATATAACCTGGTGTAGCAGCTGCATCTGTCATTTGAAAAAACCCTAGCTATTCTTGAACACGCGCGCTTTGGATTCCCTTGCAGGGCTCCTGCTCATTATAATCATTGTTCTTACCCTTTAATTATAATCATTGTTCTTACCCTTTAATTATAAGCATTTTCCTGTGCTCACTGTTTTTGAAGCATTAAACTTTCTTTTGTATCACATTAAAATAAAAAACTTTCCATGTCAATCTGCTGTGGGATTCCTATCTATGTTTTGCAGTTGCAACATGGTTGAACAATGGACTGGATTCGAACTTCTGCAGAAAGCGCTTTCTGTATTTAACTTTTCCAAAGCCGGCAACAATTGAACTCAACTTCTGCTGCCTTTCAAATTTCTTTAATTCTAAAGGAGGTACTTTTCTATGCTATGCTTTGAAAATTTTGCCTCTGCACCCAATTTGTCTGTTGGAAAGAACAAGTTGCGATTGTTTAGAGAAATCTGGATATCATTTTGCTTTCTTGATTTGGATATGATTTGGGGTCTGTTGAATTTGCTCTATGAATGTTTAAATTTTCTCTAACATCATCAAATTCTCATTTTAATTGCAAAACAAATAAGCTTTTGAAATTAAGAATGTTGGCATGTGTCTAGTTGAATGACTTGTATGAAGTAAATTGTTTTTGTACGGTACTTGATGCACTTTTTTTTTGTTGGCTATGAAAATGGATAAGTAGTTTCCTCATGTTTTGAAATTAAGAATGTTGGTAGCCTACTTACTTACTACTTTGGCTGCTAATTGATTAGTTTCAAATGCAAGAAAGGATTAGTGTCTAATGTTATAATTTTATGGTTCAAAAAGTGTATAGATGTCGCGGTTGATCAATTGTCGTCGGAGTGTGACCAATGAGCCTCCTGCATTATCAACATCTACTGCTCCAGGCGTGAGTGCTCCATTGATTGGGGAGCCTACACCCCTTAGTGCACGACGGCCTCACCGACGCCGCCGCGAGCTGGAGCCTTCTGATCACACTTCCTCGGCATCCAGAGTCGAGGGTGAGGCCTCCCAGCCAGGTAGTTTTTTCTAATTCTCGATCACTACGTTGTATTTTTCTTTTATCATTTTAAAATTATTATTTTTATGATGGTGAAAATTTGCTGGAATGTGACAATGTGATGGGGGTTGTGAATTACTATTTTAAGGTTTTGGGAAATGCTATACTATTAGGGGAGGTTATGTCAAATTTTCTGTAAATTTAAGCTTAGGGATTTCACCATTTAATTATTTTTGGCCAGCTAAAAAAAACACCAGGGGGCCTAGTCGAATGTTGAAGGAGGCACAGAGCGTACGTTTGACCGGCTCCAGGATCAAGATTGAGTATGACCCGCGACATCGTGGAGCGGCTACCTCACAGCAGCATAACAGCGTCGCTAGTAGTTGTGGTGTTGTTATTAAACAAAATTGTCCTATGCAGTGGGAGTCTTGGGCAGAAATTCCCGAGGAGACGAAGAAACTAGTGCGAGAAAACTTGTCGGTTAGTATATTAATTTTTAGCCTTTATCATTTTTTTAATTTTGTTTACAAATATTTAAAACCAAAATATATTATCTTAATATTATTAAATTTCTTACTATTATTTTATTATTTTTCATATTCGTAGGCCAATTTTGATCTTGACGACATATCCCCTGAGGTCATGGCCTACTTAGAGGATACCTTAGCAAATCGGTACAAACATTGGAAGAACTATCTTCACACGCATTTTAAGCGATGGGATGATCCGGAGTTTGCTCGCCTACATGGTTGCCCAACCGAGTTGCAGGATCGGCCGGAGGATTGGGAGTGGCTCTGCAAACATTTTACGAACCCAAAATTTGTGGTATGTACATAATATTTTAATAATAATTTATTATTGTTTTAGTTATTTTTTTAAGCTTCCTTTATTAATTTATTTTAAATAATCGCACTAACATGTATATTGTGTGTTTAACAGAAGAAATCTATTGCTGGCAAGATAGCTCGGGACTCAAAGACACTTCTCCACCATTCTGGTTCGAAGCCCTTTTCGTATAGGATTGAGGCACGACGTCAGGTAAAAGTATATTAATTTTGAAATTTTATACAATTTATTTATTATTATTTATTAATAAAATTTTCTTAATGTTTGTTTCTTCAGGAGGGTTCTAAGTTCCCAGAGATCGACATGTTCGAGGACGTTTACGTTCGACCTGGTGATGAGATAGCTAAGCAGCTTCATGTAAGTATATGTAATTGTTATTATTCTTATATGTATGAATCGTTCAAATATTATTTATATTATGTTATTAAACATTATATGTTTTTTCCTTTATTATTACAGGATGCTATGGTGGAACAGCGCACTACTGTTCTCCAAGAAGCAACATCACAACTTCCCCCGGAGACCTTGATCGAGGACGCCACGATACCCGAGGATGCAGGTTTTCAGATCCTGACTAATGTCATGGATCAAAACTTCGGTCGTCGTCCTGGCAAAGTTGTTCGGGGTATGGGAAAAGCGCGAGTTCGTGAGACGGGTGCCTCTTCTTCCAAATCAAACACAGGAGAGGTCAGTGCATTGAAGGAGGAAGTGACAACCCTAAAGGGTCAACTTGCGGTCCAGAGTGAGCAAATGAGGGCCCGGGACAAGCAGATGAGGGCCCAGGGCGAGCAGATTAAGGCCCAGGGCGAGCAGGTGAAGGCCTATGCCGGACACATGAGAGACCTTGTACGAGCCATACAGATGTCCGGCCTCCAAATCTCACTACCAGTACCTGATCTTCCTACACCTTCGACTTCTGAGCCACTTTGCCCTACCGATACCTAGTAGCTTGATGTATCAAACCTAAAAGACTACTTGTAGTTTTTTCTTATTTTTTTGTTTGGACATTTTGTATGTATATTTTCATATATTTATAACTAAATACTTTTCATTGGTTAATTAATTATCGTTTAGAGTTTAATTAAGATATTTATTAAAAATTAAAAAAATATTTTTTTTGACCAAAACAAAAAAAGAGGTTTGCGCGACGTAGGTAGAATCTTCGTCGCGCCAACCTCTTTGCGCGACACAAGACTCTACGTCACCCAAAGTGGCTTTGCGCGACGCACGACCATACGTCGCGCAAAGCCACTTCGCGCAACGTAAAAGCGTGCGTCGCGCAAAGAGGTTGGCGCGACGTATGTAGAATCTTCGTCGCACAAAGTGTTTGCGCGACGTAGGGGATGCGTCGCTCAAAGACACTTTGAGCGACGTATTACTACGTCGCGCGAAGCCACTCTACGAGACGCATCCCCCTACGTCGCGCTAAGCCACTTCGCGCAACGTAAAAGCGTGCGTCGTGCAAAGAGGTTGGCGCGACGTATGTAGAATCTTCGTCGCACAAAGTGTTTGCGCGACGTAGAGGATGCGTCGCGCAAAGACACTTTGAGCGACGTATTACTACGTCGCGCGAAGCCACTTTGCGCGACGCATCCCCCTACGTCGCGCTAAGCCACTTTGCGCGACGCATCCTTCTACGTCGCGCAAAGCCACTTTGCGCCACGTAGGGGGAATCTTCGTGGCGCAAACCCCTTCTGTCACTGCCTTGCCGCGACGGTTAGTGCGCGACGAAGGTGCGTTGAGCTAAGTTTTGCGCGACGGTTTTTGACTTTGCGCGACGAAGGACCTGCGTCGCGCAAAGTGTTTTTTGTACTAGTGCGTGATTCTGAGAGATATAGGTGATCAGATTATGCATGTATCACAATCCGCCAGGTATAAGATAGAATCTCTCCTTTTCTATGGCCTCTCTCAGCTCCAAATATATTGAAGAAATTAAACTCGCCAACAATCAAATATCGATAATTGAATGGAGTAGTAAATACCAATTTATATATGCAATTAATTATTCTGCAGAGCAATTAATCAGCCATAGGGCCATACCCATATGAAATACCCACAGATATTTTTTGTACGCGGGTACATGCATATTAATCAACCCTCACCAGCCACATACAACTGGTGGAAAAAAAAAAGAAATTAGAGTTTATATTAACTTAACTAATTACCTCCTACAACTTCCAGGCCTTCAATTTCACACGATACATTTTGGGTTTGATTCTTGACGCTGGTAAATCACACGATGATTGCTAGGGGAAGGCTAAAATGCATTTGTAAATTTTTCCGGCTCATGAAACTGCTACATAGAGCCAAAATCTTATAAATAAAAATAAAATTAGGGCTAATTTAGAACCAAAATGATATAGCTTAAACAAATTCAAATTAGGGTGAAAGCGTGTGAATATATAGATTAATTTGTAAGGGGAGAATAATTATGTGGTGGATTGAGTGTGGGTGAACCGATTAATCCCTTAAATATATATACTATTTGATTTTGTTCCCCTCCAAAAATTAGTTGTCAATCATGTCCTCTGTGTGTGGGGATTAAATTTAGATAGGGTTGGTGAGCAAAGTGGGGAAAAGTTAATTTGTTTTGTTTTTTTTGGGTCTTGTTCTTATATTTTCATGTTTTTAGACTTTGAATTCTAAAACATATGCATGAATGAAGCATGCCCGCATTTCACTCCAAAACTAAATCAATTATACAAAACCAATACTTGTTATGTATACTGTCACACACAAACTTATTATATAAACCCTTAATTTCTTATACAAAATAGGATTAAGTACCTAAAACCTCCCAACTTTTTACTGTCATTTCAAATTGGTTTCAACTTTTTAAACATTCTAAACAAGTACCCAATCTATTAAAAATATCACATCTGTTAGGCCCCAAATAATTTTTCCGTTAAATGTACATGTGACACCAATAGATCCCACTTATTTGCTTACTTGGACACTGAAATAATTAAAAAAAAATTACTTCATAAAAGAGATGAAGATGAAAAAATAAAAATAAAAAAACAAATTTACAATAAAATGGCAAACAAAAATGAAGATCGGAAAATCTCCTAACAAAGAAGAAGGTTAAGAATTCAGATAGGGTTAAAGGAGCTTGTTTCTGCTCATGTGATTTTCTCATTTGCCAATTTTCGGCTAGTACAATTTCTAGTTCTTCTTTGTGGAAGATGATGGTGGCCGCATCATGGGAGTTCATACCATTTTAGCAACAACCATGACCTTCTCGATATTGGTGGCTTGACTTGTAGGGTGGAGTTTGCGGTTATGCGCTTGGTTTGGAGGTGATGGCTTGAAAGGGGTAGTGAAGACTGTTACTTGGTGGAAGTCATGCTTCCATGACCTTCTATTGATGTTGGAGGCAAAGTGGGCCCTAGTTAATTTAACAAAAGTTTAATTGGGGCTTAACGGATATGATATTTTTAATAGATTTGGTACTTTTTTGTAATGTTTATAAAAATTGAGACCAATTTGAATTGATACTAAAAATTTTGAGAATTTTAGTTACTTAACCCTACAAAATATATGTTTATTAATCTAGAATACACTTACACTGATATAATATAGATAAAAGACGAATTTATTTTTTATGATATAACGTTAAGAACAATAAGATATAACATTTGAGTTATATCTGACTGAAACATGATTTTAATTCTCGCGATTAGTATATATCATATGTAACAGTTGTACAATCTGCATGAAACACCAACAAAATGAAGACTTGCCCTTCCAAATCAACGTAATTCAAATTTCCGATATAGTATTTGGAAAACCCTAAAGTAAAATAAAAAAGGTAAATAAAATAAAATAAAATAACATTTGACACATCGTCCTCTCTCCCGCCAAATAACCAGGGCTTATTTTTATCTTCTTTTTTTTTTTTTTTTTTTTTTTTTTTTTTTTACCGCCTCTTGTTCTTGCTCCCAAGCAACAAGGCAAAGTAAAACAGAATCCTGAACAGAAACCCCCAAGCCACCGTCACCCACAGGCAGTTCCACTTGCTCAAGTCCGTCACTCCCTGCTGCTCCAAAATATCCGCCCCCGTCGTCAGACACGTGGACCGCGTGATCCGCATCCCCAGCGTCTCGCTCATGCTATCCAGCAGCTTCAGCTTCATCGCGTCCGGCACCGTCCCCAGCGGCGTGTTGTCGAAGATCTGTATCCCGCGAACGAAGCATTTCGCGGTGTTCTGAAACTCGTTCTGCAACACCCCCTCGTAGGGATACTTCACCAACGACAAGTAGTGGAACCAAATCCAGTACGCCGGGATTCTATTGCGCGTGATGAAGAAGCCGCTGAAGAGGAGGAAGTAGGCGAGTATCGCCACTACGATTGTGTACCCGAGCATCACTTGTGGGACCACCCCGGAGAGAAATGTCACGAACGAACTCCCCGCCCAAAACGACGCGAATATTATCAGAAAGTAGAACAGAAACCCGGACAGTCCGCCGTCGAGTCCCACCGCCCAAAACGTCGTCACTGAGAACGCGATCGAGAGAAAAACCAGCGAAGGCAGCACCACCAGAGAATTCGATAACACGTAGGAGGACCGGCGGTAGGCGTTGTAGGCGGTTTCGCGCATGAAGATGTAGCGTTCCTGGAGGAAGATGGGGAGGGCGTCGGCGCAGGTGTAGAAGGTTGTGGACATGGCGAAGGCGATGAATCCGAGGCGTTCTTGTACGCCTTTCGGGGAGTCGTCGAGGTTCCAGAACATCGTGGCGAGGATGAATCCGGTGACCATGACGGTGCCGAGCCGGATACCGAAGAGCTCCGGCATTCTTCTGGCGTTTTTCATTGAACGGTTGGCAAGCACCGCCATCTCGACCCAGATCGGGTTCGCGAATGTGGGAACCATAGAGTTCGGGCTCGGGTTGTTGTTAGTGGCTCCGGATACCAACTTCCCGCGAGAAATGCTCGCACTTATCGCCTCCTGGAGAGGAACGACATGTCGCGCGTCGGAGGCTCCTCTGTACGACGCGTCGTTAGGGTTGGAGTGCTTCTTGCTCTGCCAGGTTCTGTTGAACTCCACCAGGCTCTTGGTCCCGCCGGGCGAGCCTTCGAGTTCTCGGATTACGTCGAGGGCGAACTCGGTCCGGTTCTCGGACTCGGGTATCGGGTACCCGAACTCAGCAAAGTAGGAAGGTAAGTTGGCGGGGGAACCACTGTAAACGGTTTGACCCCGGGTCAGGAAGAGTAACCGGTCCAGGAGTCCGAGGATCCGGAAACTCGGCTGGTGTACGGACATCACGACAATGCTCCCGCTCTGAGCGATTCGCTGGAGGACTTTCACCACCATGAATGCGCTGGTGGAGTCGAGGCCGGAGGTCGGCTCGTCGAGGAAGAGGATGATTGGGTCGTGGATGATGTCGATTCCGATCGAAACGCGGCGTCGCTCCCCGCCGGAGACTCCGCGGTGGCCTTCGTCACCGATGATCGTCTTCGCGGCGTTCCGGATGCCGAGCTGGTCGATCAACGCCTGGACGCGGGACTTCTTCTTAGATTTTGACAGCGCGCGGGGGAGGCGGAACTCGGCGGCGAACATGAGTGTCTCTTCGACTGTGAGCATCGGGAAGAGGAGGTCGTCCTGCATGACGTAAGCGGAAATCACCTTCAGGAGCCGAGATTCAAGAACCTCGCCGTTTAAGCTAACGGCGCCTTTCAAGCTTCCCTTCGCTATCCGATTCGCCAAGGCGTCGATCAAGGTGGATTTACCCGACCCGCTCGCGCCGAGAACAGCAAGAATCTCGCCCTCGCGCGCTTCTCCCGAGATGTCATTGAGCAGCGTCCTCGTCTGGGAGAAAACACTCTCTCCGCCGCTGATGGGGTCGGAAGCCGTGGCGGCGCCGAGTCGGTTATTGCAGCCGGATAACATCCCGGACAAGCTGAACTTACGGCGGACCTTGACACTGTAGGTCAGGTTGTTAAAGGAGAGGACGAATGGCAAGGAGCGAGGCTCGAGGCTGGCGTCGGAGATGCCGAGTGCATGGTGTGCCGGAGTCTCGCCGCCGTCGCCGGTGGCCTCCTTGCGTACATCACCAACATGCTTCAGTAGCTGGCCGAGCGAGGGCGAAGCGCCGTGGGTGGCGCGTGGGAAGTCGTCTAGCTCCATGGAAGTGAAAAACGGCGATATCTGATTGTCCGCCACGCGAGACGACATCCGTATCGGTTTCTTTCTCTCCAAGTCTCCTGATACTTATAGTCGCGGAGAATGTGATGCAAGTGAGGAGAGAGAGAGCGGTTAACGGTGTGTTTGGAATGGGCTGAATCTCTCAGAAAAGTGCGTTAAATCAGAGCATGTTGTTTCGTCTGGCCTCTTCAACTCAACAATAGTTTCTGTCTCTCCCTAAAACTCTCTCTCTCTAGAAGTGAGAGAAGTACGTGAGTGTTGGGCTTCTGCTTTATGGAGTTATGGAGAAGTGCTTTTCAATATATAGAAAGATAACAAACAGGAAAATGGGTGAGGTCTGGGTGTGGCTGTAGGGTTTACTTACTTTCATCTGTTATTTTTTCTGTTTTATTTTCTGTTATATTAATATGATTTTCTACTGATTTGAAGGGGGAGGTGAGAGAAAGGTAACCTACAACGCCTAATCCCATCTCCGTACGTCTTCTCCTCCGATCCTCTAGTTCTGTTTCTTGAGCAAGGATCGCAGGACACGTGGGTATATGGGCTGCTGACACGTGGAATTATGGTTTTTTTAGCAAAAGATTTTTCAATGTGCTCAGAACACAGAGTGGTACACCACATGTCACTATACAAGTAGCAAGATACTTGTGTTAATAAATTAACAACTTACAAAATAAAACTTTCATCCACTTATATACTGACACGTAATTTATCACCTGTGTTTCAATTACAATAAAAAATTTCTCATTTTTAGCAGGGTTGACAAGTTTTTGGGGTCCATGAGGAAATTAGGTTGGGTGTTGATCAAATTGTGCGTAAGCAAAGTAAGGCTGCATGTAATTGTATCCACTTGGTCCATAATCTATAATTGAGGATCGATGGCTTAAGGGGCCACCGTGACTTCGCTGCCCACTTCATGGTGTTAAGCTATCGAGCCATATAAATTTGGAGAAGTAAGTAAGCAACGACATGATTGATACATTTCATTTCTATGATTTTTTACTAAAACAACAAACGCAATGTTATAATTTGACTTATGCAGAGCTTTTATCCACTTGAATAAGGATTAGTTGTGAGATTCATTATACATTGAATTTTAACGATTTGAACAGTCAATTCTTTATTCATATAACATCTCCGAAATCCTTTACTCATTTAATTATCATGATGAAGTTTCAATATTTATTAGAGTATAATGTTTATCAGTTTCTTTGAACTCAATTAGATGTCTCAAACATTTCCGATTTTGTTAATATTTTGCAAGTATGATTTCTAAACTGCAACTTGAAAAATAAACGGTTCGGATTATTGAAGTTCGATGTTGAGTGAGCCCCACCACTAGTCCTCATTTTTCCCAAGTGAAGATCTTTTTTTTTTTTTTTTGTTTTTTTTTTAAACAAACGATATTATCTACATTATGGGGTTGGGGGAATAGGCTAAGTCATTAGCTAGCAATAATGTGGTTCAAATTTGTCTTTGGTAAGAATCGAATCTTACCTTTTATTTACAAATAAAAAGGAATATCATTACACTGTAATACATTCTTAGATACCCCCAAAATATTAGTCGCAAACTTGGTCATGAAGCGATAGGGTTACAATTTATGAGGTGCATGCATGTGGTTAGCTGGAAGCGGAAGGTTACTGTTTTCAGTCAGTTTTCCTGTGTAAACCAGAAATACTAGCTAACTGTGGGGGCACATGTTTAATGTTACAATTCAATTTCCAGTTTTCAGATCTTCCTACTTTCTTAATCGATTTACATTTTCTGGGACGGGTTTAATTTTTTGGAAAACTAATGAAAATGGTTTGAAAACTTTGAGTTTTAACGATAAGGATAAAATAAAGGGTAAAATGAATAACACTAGGTTTGACTTTTTAGTATAAAAATATAATTTTTCGTTGAAATAAACAGTACCGTGTACATTTTTGTTAAAACTCCCTTAATTTTTTGGGTTATTGATTTTAATTTTTTTGGGTTATTGATTTTAATGGGGGTTATATTGTGATAACTTCTAAGTATAGATATGTTTCCACTTGGAGGCATTTGCTTTGGGATTGATAAGTCTATTGGTAAGACCATCTCCATAAACGAGACGTCAAATACGTCAATCAAGGCTAAAAGACTTCAAGGTGTTCTTCAAAGGAGATATTATATATAACGCCTCAGCTAAATCATTTGACTCTTTACTTTCTAGTTGTCTTTTTTTTTTTTTTTTTTTACATGAAACTAACATGGAGTCACATGCCTTTGATTTAATTTTTTTTTTGTCTTCGATATATACGTTTCTATTGGATGGTGCTATTCACACACCTATTTTTACCTTTCATACACCCTTCTCAATTTCCAGTTGTTGGATGGAATGAATTGAAGAAAATTAATGGATAAAAATTAATAATAGTCTGTAAATGTTTAAAATAGATGTGTGAATAATACTACCTTTTTAATTTCAATAGCAAATGTAAAACATCTAATAATTCAGGTTATACTTGTATAACACCCCAATTTATATTATGGGTGTATATGACAGCTGCATGATACACATAAATCCAGAACAAAATCTAAAAGAAGAATGAAAAATCAAATTTGGTAGCTTTGACAAGCTTTTGACCCATTAGCTTCTGAAAAAGAAGAATGAATTATACAACGGGAGTACACCGTCATTATAAAGGGATGTGATATTCACACATTTAATTGGATGAATTGAAAAAGATCAAATGATAAAAATTAACAAGGGATGTGTAAGAAATAAAAAAGAGTGGGTGAATAGCACAACCCTATTATATCCGTATCAATAATACATCGATATGTGAAGTTTCTCTTTACACGACGTTGCATCATTGACACGGAATGCTACAGTAATGATATACTCGTGTCATGTAAGTTGCTCTTGTCAGGAAAAAAAAAAAAGTTAAGAAACAAGGAAAAGATTAAAAATTTGCTATAGTAACAATATACTCGAGACATGTAAGTAACTTGTCGGAAAAAATAATAATTAAAAATAAATAAATAAAACAAGGGAAAGATTAAAATTTGGAGAGGTTGGTAGTTAAATATAGATAGGCTACCCCATCCTTCACCGAATCATAAGCTAACTCAAACAACCAATGAAGAGATGAGAAGGGAGGGAGGGGCTTACGTGTGAAAAGCTAAGCCCCCAAAAGTCAACAAAAAAAGTTAGCATGCAGAATCAGCATGTGCTCCTCCAAAAGCTTTTGGCTGTTATTGCATGCTGTACTTGTCTTGCATTTCTTGTAGTTCTTCACTCCCACTTTACACTCATGTTATGCCACTTTTCGTGGGGGGAACTGTGTTATTGTTTGGGAGAAATTCTGGGTTCCGGATGACGGGACCACGTGGCCGTCCAGTTGAAAACACATCCGGTGGAGCCAATCTTGGATGGTTGGGTCGGGTTAGGTTGGGATAAGAGAGCGATACGAGTCTCACCCGTGCTTAGCGAACTTAGATGCGTTTTGGACTGAAACACGAATTTTGAACCGAGTTTGCAGTGCTCAAAGCGTACTCCTCCCCAAGGAAGCCACGAGCGTAATCCGATGATGTCCAAGGCAAAGCAGCACCAAATGGGTGCTATATGCGTGCCGGACATTTTTAAGAACCCCAAGTTATACAAAGCATGGTCCAGAACCCCACAATTGAGAGGCATAGCACAAAACAATGAAACAGAAGTTGCTTTGGTGGGCGGGTGTGTGTGTGCATATATATATATATGGGGCATTTTGATGTAAGTGTCTGAGTTTTCAACTCTATAGACTAAACATTTGTTGGTTTTTGAGATTTAATTAAACATTTTTCCCACAAATTTGGAGTTTCATCTATCATAACTATCCTTTATTTGTGCCAAAATTACAGATTTTACCATTGCCTAAATTCTTCACGTCAGGAAAAAAGTGCAAAGATTTTGAAACAAATTTCCAACAATCTAGCTCCTTTGATTCCCTCTAAAAATAATTAAACAAAAAAAAAAATGATTATCTACAATTTATAAAGGAATAAAATACCCTGCCGTTTGATTTTTTTTCTTTCCCTTTCAATGAAGAAATAAAATACTATTTAAGATATTTGTAGTAATCCATATATAAATTTTTGTAGTAATTCATATAACAAAATAACATCGAGAATAATACAAACGTACCAACAAAAAATATGTATGAAAACAAACCTACTAAAACCGGAAATAAACGTACTAGTAAACAACGTTGAAGAACAAAAGTAAATGTACCAATCTACGATATGTATAATATTAATCGTACCCATATGATACCAAACGGTACAATCTATAATGTATATATACAAAAACAATCGTAACAAATGGGATACCCCTCTTGTGTGTGTGTATATATATATATATATGTATATGTATATGTGTATGTATGTATGTACGTACCCATATGATACCAAACGGTACAATCTATAATGTATATATACAAAAACAATCGTAACAAATGGTACAATCTATAATATATATATATATATATATGTATGTATATGTATATGTATATATATGTATATGTGTGTGTATGTATGTATGTATGTATGTATGTATGTATGTATGCAGGCCCTTTAAGGGAGTTTTCAAAAAAAATGGGATACCCTCTTGATCGTTAGATTTGACTTTAATGAAATTCTATGGTTGAGATTAAATCACAGGCCACATAATCTCAACCACAATATTTCATTAAAGTCAAATCTAATGGTTAAGAGGATGTCCCTATTTTTTTTTGAAAAATGAAGATCCCTTCCCTTAAAGGCTTCATGTATGCATGTATGTATGTATGTAAAGCTAGGACTCCATTTATGTTTGATTTTGGTGGTTGTGATACTGAACAATCATGCATTATGTAGCTTTAATGAAATGGGTCCAAGGATCAAACTTTTGGCCTCCGAAAACATCTACGGATAACCAACTCCCTATAGATACTACACATTAGTCCAAGCACGAGTCCAGCTCTAACTTAGCGCAATGTCAGTTGGCCATCTACTTAATTTCTCTCAACGGATCCTCCGCGTGCTGGGCGTACCTCTTCTTTGTGTCATTCTCGTGGGGGAACAGAACAACAAGTAAAGACCCAACCAGCCTGCCCAGGGCTCGAGGGAGAGGTTTATTTCAGAGAGAATGGAAAGTGAGTCGAAAGGCTTCCGCTTCCATTCTTTGTTGGGGGCTTTCGGGCTCCCATTCTTGGTTGGGGGATTTCAGACTCCTCGAGGATACGTGCTAATTCAATTTACGTTAGTCATCTACCAAGAAGAGTAAAGAAAATAGAATTTTAAAGAAAAATTCACGGTACTGTTTACTTTAACGAAAAACCACATTTTTACATTAGAAAGTCAACTCTGATACTATTTACTTTACCCTTTATTTTGTCCATATCATTAAAACTTAAAAGTTTTCAAACCCTTTTCAGTAGTTTTCCTGCTTGCAGCAAAAGTCCGCACAAAAAAAGAGATGTCATGAAAAGTAAAAGTCAAAACGAATTACCCAACTCTCAGAGTTTCAACTTAATTACAGCATCTTGAAATGCAAAGTGTTCTCATTTAAGCAATCAATTTGTGCCAGCCATTGGACAGAATGGTTCACTTAAGATAGGCATATGCAACATAAAAGGTGCCGTATTAAGAAATCGCAAAGGGCAAATTTTAGAACTACTATTCAGTTACCAAAATGTTGTAGCGAAGTGGCCACGTTGAGCAAATATAAGACAAGGAACACGGAATACTTCATCGAAGCAACATCTCCAAATACTAATTATCATCTTGAAAGTTGACCGCAAGATCCCAGTAATGAGCAACGCCAGCATCAGCATAAACCTTCCGGGCAGCAGCTTCAGTCATGCATTCATGAACAGAAAACCTATTGAAGCTCCGTCTTGCAACACTTCCTTGCCATACTAACACGCACTTGTTAGGAGGCTTGTCATCGTCAGCATCATCGTCTTCTTCCTCTTCTTTTACTGCCTCAGCCCAGTTTATGCGCCTAAGCATAACCTTTGCATACCTCTTGATAGACTTGCTTCCACCTTCAACAACCACAACATTAATACCATCTGATATCACACAAGATCCAGTCAGCCGGTTCTCTCGCGCATTAACATCTATCTTGAAGCGGGCCTTTGGATGTGACAGCTCGTTGATCCGGTAAACTGAGACGATGGTCTCCACGTTATTAGGGTCATCAAAAAGCTTCCTTTCTTTCTTCTCACGACGCTCGGCAGGAGTGAGCTTCCGTGCTATATTCCTGTCTACATGAGCTTGTTCACGTTCAGCAGCTGCACTCCGGATCTCCTTTTCAAGCCTGGTTGGATCTTGGGTTGCTTCAGAGCCAAGAACCTTCATCAAATTACTCATTTTAACTTTTGGCTTTGGGGGCTCAAGCAGGCCTTGTCTAATCATCTCCTGCCTATCTTTCTCTCTGGCCAGACGTTTCTGTGTACGTAGTTTTTTCTGTTCCTTCTTGGTCAGCTTCAGTGGCTGAGGCGGTGGAGGAGCTGGCTCAATAGGGGGCTCAATAGGTTGAGGATGCTCAATATAGATTGTGATTTTCTCCATCTTTAATTTATCTTCAGCTACTGTGGCATCAACAACTTCCTTATAAGTACCAGAGTGCAACAGTGGCACATCCCTGACAAAATTAACAAGCATAGTTAGGGAACAAAAAGAATCATTCAGCTAACCACAGCAAATGAACAGGCAATCTACTTACCACCACTCAATTTCAGGAATTGGATCCTTTGGTTTTTCTTTGGTGATAACTCTCTCCCCTACTTCTATCAAATTTGGATTAATATCTGGCGCTGCCTTTGCCTTTGCAAACTGTTGCTGCTTTGCTCTTTGCTCTTTGGCTTGTGCTTCTCCAAATTTACTCTGTACAGAGGTGGGAACTTTTTTTTACAAAAAGACAGGTACATAACTCAAAAAATGATCAATGGGTTAAAGAGACATCAATAAATACCTTTAATTTTATAAGCTCAGCATCTCTTGTCCATTTTCCTTCCTCTACAAACGCGAAACCCATCCTCTTTGGCCTCAAAAAATTTTTACTGATGCCCACATCCGGATCAAAATGAGGATTCTTTTCAGGATCCACATCCAATTCAGGTTTTAGAATCTGGAATGCTTCTTTCTTCTGTTTGTTAATGTTGACCTGAAAAAGTAAGAAACATCAGACTAAATATCTAACAAAAAAGTCCATATAAAATAAGGCAACTGTGACAGGTAATAGCTACTACACCTTTAGGGTACTGAGGTTGTTTGGTTTCGTCACATTCACTAAGTTTCCATGTTCATCTATTTCCCTTCCAAGAGCATCAAGACGAAGAACAGGGGCCTTAGTAGGCTTCTGCGGGGCAGCAACATCAGTAGCCACCTGTCCTGGAAATGAGTTTATGAGAGGAGAAAAATCAGGGTCCTGACGGAACCCCATCTGAGCAGCAAGTGCTTGTGCACGTTTTACAGCTTCAAAGTTGGGAACGGCTGCTGCAGATATGGGTAGGGCAGATGAGTCAAATGTTGCCACAGAAGCAGCTGTAGTAACAGCTGTTGATGGGGTCGGTGCGTGTAGCAACCCAGCAGTAGTAGCTGGTGGTTTCAGTCCCTCCTTCAATTCCAAGTTCTGGCTAGCATCTTTGCTTAAATTGCCTTCCTTCTTCAACTGTATGATAAGAGTAGTGGTAGTACGTTTGTCCAAAGAAATATACGTAATTAAGATGTAACCCTGAAATTTGTTGCACACAAGCATCATACATTAAAAAAAATTATGTGGATATATTACCTGGTTAAGCTTCTTCAGCTTCTCAGTCAATTCCTTCTGCTTTTGTAAAGTTCTCTTGATTTTTTCAACATCACCAAGAGACAGATTCGCACTTTTCCCAGCAGTTGAAGATGTTCCATCTGTACTAGATTTTCCATGAACCTCATGAGATCTGGTAATACTAACTCCCTTATTTTCATTTGTTGTAGGAATTGAAGATACCTTGGTAGGAAGGGGATGAATGGGAGCGAAAGAGGTCTCAGGCACAATCCTAGATGTCATAGTAGGTTCCATAGCAGCGCCCTGTAAGGGTTAAAATTAAACGAAGTTACTATGCATACCCTGAAAGATCTTGCTCATGGTGGAGAAAAACACAAATACGAAGAATCAAAACAAAATGAAGGGATACATTTCACACAGATGGCCTCAGTCCTCAGCTAATGGAGATGACCTACAAAGGATATAAAGCATATAGGAAACTGAGCTATTTTCTAACAGTATTAAAGTAACAGCAGGTAGTTTGACCAACATATTCTGTTTATCTCTTACTCGAAAAATATAGTTTACTTCAACCTAAGTTGTTATAGAGAGCCGTATGGCTTCAAGTACGAGGGAGAAAAACAGACTGTACAGACCTATACTAGCACTATAACATACAATCACATGAAGCAATGGCGTAAGAAGGCACAATCCTTCTACAACATCAATTCCATAACTCAAAACTATGATATCGAGCCGGGTTGGAAATTCTAGTTTCAAAAATTGAATCTTCAGATTCTTCATAGCAGTTTCATTAGTGATTAAGAGAATAACCTACACTATAACCTAAATGTGGAATATTTTCACAGGTTTTCGCAATTTCAGCATCAAAGTAACACAATTATCAAAAGCAACTAAGAGTAAAACAAATAGTAAGCTAACATAAAACTTACATTACCCACCCGACCAATCCCATTTGGGGTGGCGGCGACGCTCTGGAAATTGCCAATATGATCATCCCCAACTTCTTCTTCCTTAACATTAACCTCGCTCGCATTCACATTCAATTCAGTTCTCCGTTCAACAACTTCGCCATTCTCTCTGCCCTCTTCCTCCTTTACTCGGCGGTCACCAAACCTCCTACTCTTTTTCTGACCACCATTCACTTCGTGACCATCTTCCTCGAATCGCTTCCTCTCTTTCCTCTCCCCCTCCGAAACCCTAGACCTCTTCTTATCTTCTAAATCATCACCCTCGCCATCTCGACCCTCACTCCTCTCCCTTTCTTTCCTCTTACGCTTCGATTCTTCTCGCTCCTCTGACCTCTCGCGCTTCGCTTCCCGATGCCTGGACCTCTCTCTGCTCCCTTCCCTCTCATCCCTTGGCTCGTAGGACCGCTCACGGTGGTCGCGCGAGACATCCCGGCCGTCGTCGCTCGGCTCGCGCGACCGTTCGCGGCGAGATTTGTGGTCGCGGGGCTCGCGAGAGCGCTCGCGCCTGGAATCGCGGTCCGATCGGTGGTGGTGGCGGTGGTATTCGGAGTCCTTTGACGATCGCTTTTCGTCGGCATCACGGCTGCGATGTTTGTCGTAGTCTCTGTCTCGATCTCTGCGGTCGCGTTTGCTCGACTTGTCTTTCTCCATAGCTAGGGTTTCCAAGTTTCTCACTCTTATCTCTCCCTCCAGATCGGGTTCAGGAGGATGAATTGGGCAGAATACAACGGATACGATTTATATGTTAACAAAAAAACTCGATATTATTAGAATTATATCTTTATACTTTTTTAATTATGTTACTATTTGTTTTACATTTTATTTTGTCATTTTCGTTAAAATTCAAAGTTTTCAAATTTTTTTTCATTATTATTTTTTTTTGGCAATAAAAAAACTTTATTATAATCCACCTGATAATATACTTTTAATGGTTGGATTATTTGTTCAAATCATTAAAAGAGTAATTTAATTATCAACGATAACACTTAGTACAATAGTTTTAATAGTATTCCTCTTCATATAAGTGAAAAGCGTTTAAGTTTGATTCTCATCAAATGTGAATTTGAATCCAATTATTAGTAACCTATTGTGAGGCTAAGCTCACCCCTCCCTCTCCTTAGCGTAGATAATTAAAAAAAGGGTAAATTACACTTTACCACCTCAGATTTAGGGTCGATTTCAATTCCTTACAACATCTTTAAAACATTTCACTTTCATACCTTAAGTACTATTTTATTTCAATATAATACATCCGTTACATTTTTCATCCATTGATCCGTTAAATGCTGACGTGGCAGCCACATTTATGCCACGTGTCTACCAAATGTCTGCCATATGGCAAAAAAAAATTAACTTTAAAAAAAAAAAAAAAAACCTTAATCTTCTAAATTAAAAAAAAAAAAAAAGTTAGAAAATCCAGATCCCATCACCCCACCCCCCCGGGTCGAAGCCTCATCGTCTTCCATTCGTCCGCACCCATCCTCCACCACCTCCTCCGCACCCATCCTTCACCTCCTCCGCACACCCATCTTCCCTCTCCCCAACGCAAGCCCAACCTGCAACCCAGAAAGAAGAAAGAAAAAAAAACCCAGCACACCCACCCTCGCACGCATCCTCTTCCCTCATCTACACACCCCACTCCTTATTGGGGAAGACGGAATCTGGGTTGCAAGGAAAGGGAGATGGGTTTTTTTTTTTCTTTTGTTTTCTGGGTTACAGGTAGTGGGTGCGGAGGAGGAGGTGGAAGACGAGTGCACGGTGGATTTGGGGATGACGGGAGGGGGAAGAAATGGGTAGGTTGCAAGGAAGGGGAGTCGGGGAAGATGAAGATGTGTTTTTTTTTTTTCTTTCTTTTCCTCTCCTCTTCTTCTTCTTCTGGGTTACAGGTTGGATGGGTAGGGATTGCGGGTTCAGCTTTTGTTTTTGGTTTTTTTATTTTTTTTTAATTATTATTTTTTATTTAGAAGATTAAGGTTTTTATAAAAAAAATTAAAATTTTTTTTTTTGCCACATGGCATAAATGTGGCGGTCACGTCAGCACTTAACGGATCAATAGATGGAAAATGTAACGGAGGTATTATATTGAAATAAAATAGTACTTGATGTATGAAATTGAAATGTTTTAAAGATATTGTAAGAAATTGAAATGTTTTAAAGATATTATAAGAAATTGAAATCGATCCCAAACCTAAGGCGGTAAAGTGTAATTTACCCATTAAAAAATGTAAAAAATTATCAATTGTGATATTATGTGATTTTTAGTATATAGTATAAAGTATCATCTTTAGCATTTTTTATTAATTTGATATTGAAAAATAAACTTTTCTTAATTCTTTATTTTTTATTACGCTTTAAATTGACTTGAAATTGACCAATTTAATTTTAACCAAAAAAAAAAAAACATTTAGCACCTCAAAATATTTAATTAGCTCGCAACTGCTAACACTTATTATAGTCTTTGTAAATACTAATTATTTATTATATGAGTAATGCTAAGCAAATCAATTATTTAGACTAAATTTTGTAAAGGGTAATGTTAGGGAGACTAAATTTGTTTACAAAATTGTATAAACTAAATGACATGTAAGTTAATGAATGGTTAGTACTTAAACGTTGAAAAACGTGTTTAATCTTATTAGTGGCATATCATTTAGTTTGCACATTTTGTCTACAAATTTAGTTTCCCTAACATTACCCTTTTGTAAATCATATAACGTGTTTGTTGACAGTTGGATTATAACTTAAGCATTGATTAACGTGTTTGTTTTATATTAGAGAAATGTCACATGATTGAAAATTTTGATTTGAAAATTTAGTCTGACACACCCCAATCGAAGTCAGACATGCTGGCCATCACGTGAGAATGACGTAACCATGTGCACAATGCGGAAGCTAAGAATAATAATAATAAAGGTACGAATAAATAAAAACCAAGTTATACACTAAGTAGATAATAAACAAGTGCAAGCGTAAGTGTGAAAAACAATATTCAGAGCACAAAAGACCTAGTGCAGTCCAGAGGAACAAACACTAAATAAACACACCCAGAGGTGATCCTACACTGGTGATAATCTGTCATATATGCCGTGAATTCCTCAAGAGCCACCAAAAGAGCTATCCAAACTTAAACCTGGAGGGGCGCAAAACAGAAAGTGTGAGTGGATAAAAACAAAGCTTTTCAAAATCATTTCATTATCAAAAGTTCTAACCCCTCGCCGTAAAACCTATATAGGTTCCCAGAAAATAGAATATACCCATATATAGAAAACATGCTTAGAAATATGCCATGTCGAAATCCTCTACATCAAATGTAAGTACTCAGGTAATGTCAATCAATGCCATGTAATCTGTCAGCCAGAGTCACCTAACGTGACCTGTACGGCTGAATCTAGAGCTCAAATCTCTAACTCACTAACTATACCTGCACACGAGTCGGAACCACCTAAAGTGGTCTGTACGACAAGACTGGGTGTAAATAAATACGCTCAAATGCTACGATCACGTGAAGACTGGGTGAATAATCGCGGGTCACCTACGAGTCGAAACCACCTATAGTGGTCTGTACGACAGGACTATGCACCTAACTTGGATCCAAGATGAGCGTGTGGTGCGGGAGGTGAACATCACGTGAAGGACTATGTCCTACTCTGGGCGGGAGCACTGACATCGGGGGTGCAGGTTATGAGCTCACTATGCATCTCAACTCACTACTAAACACAACATAAGCCATAACTTGTGCATCCGCAGCATCAAACATATATATATATATATGCAACTACTAATGCATAATTAAATAGGCAAACGCAAAACATGACATTTAAAACATATAAACGTTTCATTTCATTTTCTGGGAAAATCACAAGTATATAGGTATATACGGAAAACCAAAAGCCCACTCACTGGTATGTAAAAGGGTCGTAACCCCTTTGCCTCGAGTGACTGCGCTCGCCCTCGGGATAGGTCACACCTATATGCGAAACAACTATTAAAACATTAATTTAATGCACATAACCCAAACTAGGTAATAACTTCTCATACAATGCTCAAATAGAGTGTGTGAATACACCAACGTGATCTACTCAATCTCACAAACATCCCCATATTTTTAAAATCATTTTTCGACGCCCCACGCGCCGCCCACGCTCAAGCACGTGCCTGGCACACTTACGGCAGCAGTTAACGCCCTCAGGAATATTTTGTTAACTCTAACAAGTTCCGTTAAAGTTAACGTAACGCCGTTAGGAATATTCTGTCGTCTTCTCCGGTCAACCTCCGGCGCCGTCGCCATCGCCAGAAAGCCGGGAAAATTTCTAAACTTAATTTCTCACTCATTTTTCACCTAAATTTCACGAAATTGGTACCAAAATGAAGCTTACAACTAGAGGAACAAAACCTTACCATTTTCAAGCACTAAAACCAACGGAATATCGCAGGAAAAACTTCACCAAATCCGCCCAAACCTGCAACTCACGATCCCGACGTCCAAAACCTTCAAACGAACCACCCCGAGCTTCCAAAGGACCTCACCAAGCTTCCTACAACCCTAAAATTCCCAAAAACACATGATTTTACTTGTGCATGAACAGTACCCCGAATTGAACATCTCGAGTTCGACGGGAAAACGTAGGATTCCTTACCTGAAATGGGTATGGTTGAACTCGTATGAAGCTCATGAACACAAAGGTATGATTTTCTTCCTCGATCTACAACGTTTTCAAGTGTTTTGGTCTTGTCCGTACACAAGTGTAGAAGAAGAGAGAGAGAGAGAGGCTTCGGGATAGAGAGAGTCAACAGGAGAGGGTGATGGAAATGAAGATGGATGTGTGGCTGAGATGCAACCAACCAAGCACCCAAAACAACCACACAAACAACAATTATCCACTAGGGGCAAAACCGTCATTTTACCCCTACGGTGCAAAAAATCCGAGACAGGCTGTCACATAGTCTACATAACATCACCTTTATTATACAATTTTAACATGGAAAAATTAGTATCCGGTCTCCAGTTACTAATGTTCATTGACTGAAACCTTATTAGTTGTCAGTTACATAATTTTTAAAATAAAGGTTAACAATTGATTTAGGATTTTAATACTCACACAATTATTAAACTCTTAACTAATTTTCAATTCAAAACATCTCCAAAATAAAAAAAAATAGAATAAGTTTCTACCCATTAGTTTTTATAAAATGGTTTTCAAATTTTTAATCATATATGTACCCTTAGTTTTTATAAAAATAGAATAAATAAACATTTCTCAGCAGACAAATTCTTCACGTTACAGTTGGAAATGGGTTCACCAAGGATCCTGGCAATACAAATTATAAACAGAGGAGACAAAACAATTACTCACCATCAAAGCCAATAGCAAGCAAATAAAATAAAACAATCATAAAGAACTTACCCATCACAGGTCTTGAACAATGCACAAACATAGAAAGAAAGTTAGGGGCTGCCATTAGATTGGAGAGGAGATGATCATAGAAAGAAAGTTAGGCGCTGCAGAGACTGAAAAACAGTTGAAAGGGGGTTAGGTTTCTCCTTTTCTTTTGACTGAAAAACAGATGCTCTCTCTCTCCTCTCCCAGGCTGCGTCCCCCCACCCCATCTGATTGTGTTAGGTTTGGAGAAATTCAATCCACTTAACTACAGAAATACTACAAAGTGTCTTACCATAAGGTTTATTTGAAACACATATTAGTTCAAGCCGGCCAAATTAAAGTTTTTTTTTTTTTTTTTTGAGTACATTGATATTTTTACACAAAGGGAGGGGGAGTTTGGCCAAGTCACACAATAACTAGGATATCGAATTCATCATCTACGATATTTGTACCTAAGGTCTTTCACTTCTAAATGAATAGAAATACCATAACACCGTAATACTGAGTGGTGCCAACCAAATTAAAATTGTCTTGGCCGGAATCACTCCACTCCAAGCTAATCTTCAAAGAAACTTACTTTTCACTAGCACGTATCACCATTGATACATTAATTAATCGTTTTACAGAGTTGGATATTTTCAATGTTAATTATGCATGAATCAGGATTCTCGCCGAATCCTCTTTGTGAAGATCCGGAGAATTCGTAATTTGTGTCTGTTTATCGTACATCGTGCGGTCAAAAATCATACAGTACTTGACAAAAACTGACTGCACAATGTACGATGAACGGACATGATTCACGGATCTCCAAGATTCTCACCAAAAGGATCCGACGAGGATCCTGTTGGATTATGCATGGCTAAGGATTGAGTCATGGCTTTCTCTCGGATGGAGAGGGAGACTAAGAAGGAGAGAGATAATGATGGGATAGTGACCATGTATATCTTGCTTAAGAAAAATATCCTGTTAAGCAGCAAAGTTACGCAGGTAAAATTTATTAATCAGATGATTGAGATAACTATCTTCCTCTCCTCTCCTCAACTCAATGTTAAATAAGCTCAGGACAATATTTTTTAAAGAATAGAAAAAATATTACTTATATAGAGTGTTGAGAAGTATAAAAATAATATGCAACTCAATAATAGGTAGTTAAATTGAAACAATATACCTGCAATTCTAAATGTTCTAACGTGTGGTTTCTCAGCTTCAAACAATAAGGAAATCATTTTATATTCTCAGATTTTATATTCTCTTACAAAAGGGAAATCATTTTTCTTCTTTAAAATACACAGTAATATATTTACAGTACAAATTAAAAAAATTAAGCTAATTCACATTATGGACCAATCATAAGAAATTAGTATCGAACATTTTATACAAGAGAGTTGAATCTGAGGCCTCTGCAAGCTAAAAACCTTTTTTTAAACAAATCTAAGTGAACAAGTTGAAATTAAATAAAACTTCTAACCTCATATCTAATTTAATCTCATCTCGCTTATCCTTTTAACTATCTAGTTCGTAAACCTACATAAACGGTAAGTTAACAATCCTAAATTGAGTGTTGTGGCGACACAGAATTCAATTATAATATATAATCAGTCGTGAAAGATTAAAGCAACGGGCAGAGGATTTGATAAGTGGCGAACAGCTGGGCCCCAATTGGTGAGGGCAGCAGCTGCAAAACGATAACTTTTTGGGGGATTGTGACCCATTCGATTTCTAGGACGTTGGTGTTCAAGGATCCAGATTAAACCCCTTTTTTGGCAATCTTTATTAGATTTTGAGATAACTGTTCATATATATATTTTTTTCTCAAACCCAACGGTAAAAAAAATCCAAAGGCTAAAATTTGAATCCAACAATCAAAATAATAAAATAAATTTTTTAGAACAGATTATATTAATCACACATACTTAATATATCGACATTAAGAAAAGTACATAATTTGGTTGGTATGAGTACTGAAGTTTGGTTGGTTGGTTTATATATTAAAGCTTAGTTGGTGTGTATTGAAGTTTGGTTAGTTGAGTGGTTAGTCGTTGTGATTTGTACGGTTTTGAAAATTTTTTGGGAATGTAATTTTTTTTTTCAGGTTAAAACATTCATAAAATCAAATTAATATAACATAACTCAAAGTTACAAAAAAAAAAAAAAAACAGATAATGTTAAGGAGACCAAAATTTTAAACTAAATTTTGTAAATCAAATTATTTGGTTGTTGATGATTGGATTGTTACTTAAGTGTTGATTAACGTGTTTATTATTTCCTATTGGTAACATATCATTTGGTTTACAAATTTAGTTTGAAAATTTGATCTCCTTAGCACTATCCAAAAAAATTAGAGTTAAAACTATTCCACAATAGTTAATACATTTTAGGTCACGAAATTAAAGGCTTGAGGGTTGAGTGACATTCATTGTTCACGCAAATTATGACTTTTAGTGGAGCTAAACGACATATTTAAGTTCGTGTACAAGAGTTGGAATTGGTGTTAGTGAACTAGCCTCCATCAGGCTTCTCTTTCACTTTGTGTTTGGTGAGAGTCTCTTCGTTTCGTACAGAATACGGAGATATCAAGCACCATAAATCATCAGCACAGCAGGCAGGCAGCAGAAATTAGGAAGATCAATCGAACAGTGAAATGGCAGGATTGTTTGACAAGCAAGCAGATCTGTACTTGGATTCCAGGCCAACTTATCCGACGGAATGGTATTCCAAGCTAGCAGATCTCACCCCTCACCACACTCTCGCTTGGGATGTCGGAACCGGCAACGGCCAAGCCGCTGTCAGCGTTAGTATTACAATTCTCCCCTCACTCACCATTTGTCAATTTGTGGCATTTCTTAGACTTGAATTTTTCCTCACACTAGAGTTGGAATCCCCGTAAATTTGAGTAATTTAGAATATTATTTGATCGTATTTCTGAGTATAGTCAATTGGAAGAGAGAGCCCTTGATTCTTTAAAATATTATTCATCATTTTTCTTTCTAATGTGAGATTTATGCTTTTAAAATACTCGATGAATGTTTCTTTCTCTGCATTTAAGTTTAAATCCCTCACCTTTTCCGTAAATTAGAGCATATTAAAATATTGCTTTGTCAAAACAAAAGAAAAACTTCGATTTGAAAAAGAAAATTTGGTATTTCACATGTACAATGGTTGCATGTTTGGACTATTGATGAAGATGATTATTGCTTTGGTGTTGCTTCAAAGTTTGTTTGACTGTCTAAGTCTGACAAGAGAGCATTGATAACTCTCATACATACATACATACATATATATATATATATATATATATATATGTGGTTTGTTTTGTTATACAGGTTGCTGAGCACTATGAACAAGTAATTGGAACCGATGCGAGTGAATCACAGTTGCAGCGTGCAATGCCACATCCTCGTGTTCGATATGCCCACACATCGTTAACCATTACAGACGACGAATTAATACCATTGATCGGGGGCGAAAATTCAGTCGACCTGGTGACTGTGGCTCAAGCTGTGCACTGGTTCGACCTGCCAAAGTTTTACAATCTTGTTTCGCGGCTTCTGAGAAAGCCAGGAGGTGTGTTGGCCGTTTGGTGCTACAATAACATTGAAGTTTGTCCGGAATTTGATCCTATTATGAAGCGATTTCATGACACAACCCTGCCCTTTTGGGACCGTAACATCCAGTACATCTTTGATGGTTACAAGACGCTTCCATTTCCTTTTCAGAGTGTTGGTTTCGGATGCGAGGGGAGTCCATTGCCGCTGGACATTCCAAAGAAGCTGTCGTTCCAAGGGTTTTTGAACATGGTAGGGTCATGGTCTGCAGTCGTTACAGCCAAACACCAAGGCGTGGATTTGTTACCGGAAAAGCTGGTTAAAGAGTTTTCGGGTGCTTGGGGTGGCTCTAAATTGGTCAGGTCGGTCACCTACAAGGCTTTTATGCTTGCCGGAAAAGTTTAAGGTGTAACCTTGTTAGGAGTATGTGCGTATGTGTGGTCATCAGTACTAGACTACTTACATCCTATGATTGTATCGATACTGAATGCATAAGTCTGGAATCTTGTTGCTCTTGAAGTTAAATTGAGTATAAAGTTGAGACTTGCACTATCATTCTTGCATTTCTGCATAAAAAGGACACAACCGATCCTAGTAGAAATGAGATGTTAATTCGTTTTCTGCAAAGGAATCATCCATCAGGACATTTTCGTTTGCTTTCTCCGACTGAGGAAAGGAAAGGAAAAACTCATAACACGAGTGTAGCGTAAAAACCTTTATTGCTAGAGTTCGAAGCCTTAGAAACAACATCAAACATTTTACAAATAGTGTATATTTATAGACTTGTGAGAACTGACTTGAATCTCACATGGTTCCGTATATTACTCACTCATTCAGGATTTTCACTATCCAAATATTACATGAGAAAAACACAGGAAAAAATAAAACCGAAATTTTTTAGCTTCAGCAGTTTACCTCATGTCCTCTTTCACCATTTGGGCGAAAACCTTGCTCATCGAGAAGCCAGCAAGGTCCCCTGCACTTCCCATGCTAAATTCTGCAACAGATACACTGGTCTCCAGGGGGTTGACATGATCAGCTTGCGAAGATAGCCTGCCGTTACTTCCTTCACTTCCTTCAAGTTGAAGCACAGATTCCAGGTTCCATAGCACATCTCCCACTGTAGGTCGATCAACACCATGTTCCGCCAAGCATTTTGCAATTATTTCTCCGAACTTCCTCAATGACTCCGGCTTTACTTGACCTGCAAGGCAAGGATCTACAATCTCCTCCAACTGCCCTTTATTATGCAACTTCATTGCCCATTCAACCAGATTCACCTTTTCCCTCGGGAGGGAGGGATCAATGACAGGTCTCCCACAAAGGACTTCAAACATCACAACCCCAAATGAGTACACATCTGACTTCTCCGTAAGTTGTTGCCTTGTTAAGTACTGTGGATCAAGATACCCAAAGCTTCCCTTAACCACGGTACTGACATGTGTCTGATCAATCTCAGGGCCGGTTTTTGAAAGCCCGAAATCAGCAACCTTTGCCATAAGATTCTCATCTAGTAGTATATTTGCAGTCTTAACATCACGGTGAATGATCGCCTTTGTAGAGCCAGTATGAAGATAGTGAAGTCCTTTGGCAGCTCCAACACATATTCCAAGCCTTTGCCTCCAACTCAAGCTCGGAAAGTCTGAACCGTAAAGGTAGTCCTTCAGGCTCCCATTTCTCATGTACTCATAAATAATGATCATCTCATTCTGCTCGTCACAGTATCCAATTAATGACACCAGATGACGGTGGCGGAACTGAGACAACATTTCAATTTCTGTCCTGAATTCGGCAAGACCCTGCCTTGATTGAGGAGCTCCTCTCTTGACTGCCACTTTTGTATTGTCCCTTAAAACTCCTTTGTAAACCTTCCCAAAACCACCAACTCCAATAACCAGGTTCTCGCTGAAATTATCTGTGGCCTCCCGAATTGCCACAAAAGGGAAGCGATACCCAATTTTTGAAACAGAAAACATTGCTGTACTGTCGGTGATTTTACTTTCCGTTTCATTCACCACTCCATCTTCTGTATTCGAATGGATGGCGTGCGCTAGTCTTCTTCTTCTTCTGCAAAGCAAGAACAAGACTGCAGCCAACACGATGGCAGAAAATAGTCCAACAGCCAAGCCAGCTATAACAGCAACTTTCATCTTAGAGCCGGCTTTTGAAGAAGAATCCAAGACATCGAGGCTGCTCTTAGGATTACTTATTTTCATGATCTCCAGCCCGTTGAGAAAGACGATAGGATACACAATGTCGGCCCTAGAGGGACCAACACTAACGTTTAGCTTCTCGCTATCAGTTGCCCTAATGACGACATCCATATAATATGGGGCGCCTAAGTTATTCGATGTCAGACTTCTAAGATCAAGATTATCAGAAACAGACAACGAATTGATATAAACTTTGAGGATGGAACTTTGAGTATTGTTACTGACTATGTCACAGAAGTGAAACCGAACCAGATACTCAAAACCAGGATCAACATCGAAATGCCATGTTAAATTGGCATTAAACAAAGCATCGGTTTTAGTATTATCCAACTTAGTTGCCGTGCCATAGACAGAAGAAGGAGCAACATCTTCTGTTGGCCAGCTCGTGTAATGGACAGCGCTTTCATTTGACACAAATTCTGGAAGACCATTGTGCATCAAGTACAAATCATCAGAAACCCAATGTCTCCGCAAGGTATCATTGGGAGGAGATACTGTTTGATTACCCATGTTCACCCTCACAACTGTCTCTAATGCTTGCCTCCTCAAACTTTGGCGATTTTCCTTTGAACCAATGGTTCTAGCATCCTCAGGAATGATCTTATCCGGTATCGAAACAACTTCTAAGGCATTCACAAAAGCAAAGGAGTTGGAGGCAGGAGTAAAAGTGAGAACAAGAGTTTCAGAAGTTACGTTCAAAGAGTATTCCATAACAAAGGAATCGCTCTCCATTCGTAACTCCTTGACAAGGGTGAAAGTTTGAGCAGAGACAGAGAATTTCGCTGTGCTCGAATTGTAGCTCCCATGAACAAAAGGAGAGAAATAGAGGCGAATCCAGTGCCGCCCTTGTTTTGTAATCGGAAATGTGTAAAGGGAGGTTTTGTCAAATATTCGTGCACTTTGGTACAAAACTGAATCAAAGGAGGAAGAGTTGGATTTTGAAATTGCATTGGCTGAAATAGTTTGTGGAGCTGAAAGGAGATTTGATGCAGACTCATCAGATACAAATACACGACCACCGACTGTTACACTGCTCGAAGATCCACAGTTTATCAGATAACTATCTTCAGGATTAAACCCCAATGAAACACAAATCGAAAACAAAATCGAAGTAACCCCTATGAACAATCTGATAGTCCCACCAGCCATCAAAACTAGGATTTAAGTAAAAGAAAAATATGGGATCTTTGGAAACAAAGCTGAGGGTCTTAAAAGCAGAAATTTGGAAAACTGAGATTATAAAACCAAAATTTGCAACTTGCAAGTGGAAAAGTCAGATTACAGAAAGGAAACAGCTTCTCACAAGTGACAGGGGCTCAGATTATAATATGAAATTGATAAAAACTCCTCTCCCATCTCTTTCATGATTTCATCACAACACCAATACAATAAGAACCCAACAAATTAGCCAAAGTGGACCTGAGTTTAGCCAAGTTAACTAGAGCGGTGCGCTCCACCCACCCTTTGTATCCAAGTTCGAATCCCCCCACTGTAGTTTGGATGAACTTAGTGTAATTATCCTATCATTTATCAAAAAAAACAAAACAAAACAAAACAAAATTAGCAATAAAGTAAGCAATAATCAAAAGGGTAAAGCTTTAAACCACCAAATTAAGCAAAAACACCGAAAGGGTAAGCTTGAATCACCTGAAAATATCAAACTTGAAGAAGCAAATCAAGGTTCTTGAATCTGATTAAAACCCAAGTGAGAGAATCAGAAATCAGAAGAGCTCAGTGCTGCCTCACTGCAATGAGCTGCTGAATTATGCTGGTAAAAATAAGTGTGAACACGATAACAACAATGTGGACCAAAACAAAAAACGTGATGCGACCACCATTGACCGGAACAGCCAAACACAGTCGTGTTTTTTTTATCGTTTTTGTTCTACGTGGAGTTTGACAAATTCATGAGATCGGAAATAAGATCCACGAAATCAGAGTGGGAGAACAAGATGGTGGATAAAGACAAGTCAAGAATGTCTGAACAGAACGTAATTTGATGACAGCTATTATGGGTGGCTCACGTTGTTGGATTACTATATACTTTTGGTCCCATGAGAGAGAGAGAGAGAGAGAGAGAGAGAGAGAGGAGGGGGGGGCGGCCGGGGGAGTTTCGTGAGATGGTTCCTTCTGAGTGGGAATATTGAGTGTCGGGTTTGTTCAAAAGGGAAGATTGATGGGGTCTTGTCGTTGTCAGCTGTTTGTTAATTACGCGTTTTCCGCAACCACTTTTGTATCACTGTTTGAGATTGATACAGGATTTTGGTGGGATTCGGACTTGGCGCTGGGCGTTGAATGACACTTCGAATGTAAATATTAGGCTGAAAATCTTGAGTTTGATTCTTCTAAATTTAAACAAGCTCGTACAGTGAGTCGAAATTTTTTTTTTTATTAATGTAAGTGAGTTTAATTGTTGAGTGTAACATAAAATCTTGTGAGTTTGATTCGTATAGGACAGCTGGTGATTTTTTTGTAGTTGGGGAGTCAGATCCCTCCCCCCCCCCCCAGCTTGATTTTCTATGTTATGTGGTCGTTCTCAACTGTTTAGTGGTGGCTCCACCTTCCCCTGGCGGCCTTGGCACGTGGGTGTAGCGGACTTGCATTAATTGTAGGTGGTGATGGGTCAATGGATTGGTTTTAATTATTTTAGTTTAGTCCTGGTCTTCTTACAAAATTACTCTCTAGGGTTCCTAGGTCTTCTTAGGTTTCACTAGGAGAAGCGACTGCTTCGTCTACGGCGATGGCGCCAAGTTACCTTGATTCTGTGTTCGTAGTTTTGCGGGCATAGGTCTCCTACTGATACTATGTGGATGTTGGTCCAACTAATCCAATTTGTTGGAGACATTTTCTGTCAGTGGTTTAGACTGAGTTGCAGCGTGTGGAAATGACTATGGAAGAAATGGTCGAAAGCTTTGCCGCACGGTTGGCGCTCACTACATGAAATTGTCGAAAGCTTTTGTAACCAATCAATTTAGTGGGTTGAAGACCACTAGTTGCATATTTTGCCGCATGGTTGACATTTGAGGATAGGTCTTTTATGTTGTGCGGGACACCATTTTCCCTTCAACCGGAGTGAAATTCCCAGCAAGGTTTTATCGAGGCCCAGTATGCACAATATCCTCATTTTGTTTGTATTCTGGATTTGATTGCAATGAATTATCGTACTTCTCTCAAAGAAGGAAAAAAAAAAAAAAAGAATAGTGAACCACAATTTATTAAACTTGCATTACTATAACAACATACATGCAACTAACCAAGGGGCCTTTTTATGTATGTGATAATTAAAATCACCTCTATCTCGTTGTTATAGGGTGAAGTTTGTGTTTCACCTCTTATTTTCCATATCGATTTTTTATTTTTCGGATATTTCACGTAAAATAACGACAATTTCATAAATATTTAAAACACTACTTACATGGGACATACTGTAATTCTCAACCATTGATGCATGCAACTTGTTAAATACATGCAGTATATATCATTGGTTAGTAATCGTTTACATGTGCGATTTTCCTCAATAACACTTAATTTGTTTTCTAGTGTTTGTTCTCAAAGAGTTGGCAAAAACCTCAACGAGTCATGCATCTACAGCCCCAAAGGGCAAAAACTTGAACGAAATCCGATTAAGTTTTGGCAAGGTTGTATGACGTTTTGTGAGTTATACTTTGAATATTACATAGTAAACAATGGCATGCATTTGTTAAATAGTTTTGCATCGTTAAGTGTTACGTGTTCACAACTACTTCTTGATTCCAAAATCAATATAAAGTTTGGTAAAGGACATGTTGCTCTTATTATAATCCTCTATGTAGATGTGGAAAATAAATATATTGTTCTTTATAAACATTGTTTACTATATATTCTTCGTGTACCATATGAGTTTGTAACAATGTTCTGAGTTGTTAGAACATGTAAACTTTATTATAGAATTCATATAAATTAACAGTTGATATTTGTTTATATAGACATAAACAATTGACATTCGTGTTTAATTTTTATTAAATGAAAAGACTGATGTAAATGTAGAAGACGATTAAAAATAAAGTCCTTTACACGGACATTATTCCAATATTTCAAGTTACGAATAGAAGAAACAAAAAAATACAGGAAATCAAATTAACGTATGCATAAGAGAGCTTCCCTTGTGTGTCAAATGAGGGAGTGGAAGAGGGAGGAGAACTTTTCGAATCGGCCTCAACTCTTGTGAACACGTCCGTGGAACATATGAATGAATCTGGATTCTCGCTGGATCCTCTTGTGAGGATCCTGAAGATTCATAAATCATGTTATTTCATCATACATCATGCGATCAAAAATTATTTTAAATATTTTTATTTAAAATTAAACACAAACAATACCTGATAGAAACAAACCGCACGATGTACGATTCATAGATTCTCAGGATTCTCACCCAAAGAATCTGGAGAGAATCCTGTTGGCACAAGAATCACCTTGCATTTACCGAAATTAGGTGTTACTGTAGACTATTTTTGACCATTGATATAGATGTCGATGATCCTGGTGTAGTTTGGTCCATGCAATGTTATTGGTAAAGTAAAGCACAATGTAAGTCAATTGTTGAGTCGTTTTGGGGAGATCGACGGACATGATGATTGGATTGGCAGGGCTCACTCATTGAATGGAGCCGAGTAGCACCGGATTAGCAGGATTTTTTTGGGGGAGAGGGATTGCTACGGTAGGGACTTGGACGCGGTTTGGTGGGGTTGTTCGGGTGTCCCTTTTCGTCTGTACCTTTCCTCGGTCAATACTTCTGTGTACCAACATAAACTTCCAACTCACTCAGACTTTGGGTATGCGAGTGGGCCTGTACAGCGTCATTCGTCCACGAAAGACGCTCAAAACGTATTATTTGCATTCATATCCATTAAAATTGGCTCATGTAGGACACAAATACATAGAGCTTTTTTTGTATTTATCTTGGGTGGACAAGTGACTTGACACGATTTTCTCTTCACAAGAATTTGTCTGATGCTAAAATATATTGTATACACCATCGTAATATAAGCGAATTTTGATTGTTGATCATTATAAATTTCCTATGAATTAACCGTACACACACGAGATTTTGTATCTAATATCTTAGTCAAAATTTAATGAATATATTACGGTAAGGGCATAAACAACTATTGCATGACCTATATATACTATTTGACCTATCTCTCAACGATTTTTTTTTTCTTTTCATAAGATAAATTTTATTATAATCGAATAAAAATGTTTACATCTTGCGCCAAAATATTAAATAGGAACTCAGGGCCAATAGAATCTCATACAAATGAACGATCCTCTTTAAACACAAACTTTGCCATCGAGTGAGCAGCACAATTACCCTCTCTAGACACAAAGTCAAACATCACTGACCTCATACTTCGCGCTAGAGTCTCAATGTCACCAAGGATGCATTCAAGGCTGTAGTCATGAGCCAATTCCTTTATAATCATTTGAAAATCACCTTTGCATCAGATTCGATAATCATGCTATCAACTCCATGTTCAATGCAAAACTCCAAAGCTTCACGGATTGCTGAAATGATTATGTGAGGCTCATTTTTATTACATGGTTAAGCTCATATAAATTTTTTGAAACTCATATGAATTTTAATTTTATTGAGTTGTGTAAAATTCTAATAACAATTTGTAATGCATGCAATCCGTCTTATCTCTCTTATGTCTATGTTCATTCTATTACAATCTGACACAATGCAACATACGAAAATCAATAATCACTTATTTTGTGTGACAAAGATTCAAAGAACAAAAATGGTTAACAGACATAGGACGTTTGAGCAAATTGTGGATATTAACATGTTGCAGACATTGCTCAGTAGTTTAGCGACCGTTAGAGAGATTAAGAAGTTGAAAACGAATATTGGCTTCGCTAGCCAAGAACGATTGAGCAAACTGTTATTGAAAGCAATTCGACATGTGTCAAATCCAATGGTGAGAGGAAGAAGAGGCTCCAAAATCTCACTAGTAATACAACTTACAACCATTTGAGTCCAAGTAGCTAGCATAGGCAAGATTTGGAATTTGAGGACTAGGTTCACCTTCTTTGGCTTTGTAGTTAGGGTCGGAAATAAGAGGAGAAGGAAGGGTGAGAGCCATCAATAAATTTCCAGAGAGCATGGCGAACAAGGTAGGAGTTTTTTTGGCGAAGCCGGGGAAGGTAATTGGTTTCAGTGAGTTTGACGAAGTGCGAAGTTTGAGGACCGTGAAGAGAGTGGACGCCATGGAAGAGAAGACGCAGGTAAAACTACGAGTCGTTTTTTTTGAATTTTTGGTTAGAACCTGCGAACTGGTGTGACAATAAGAAAGATATAACAAAACAACACTGTTATTTCTCATAAAAACATGATCGTTCTCTTTAAATAAAACAAGACATAGCACTTTCCTCTAGCTTCATAGATTGTATGTAAATAACTCACTAAATACAGAACGGCAATCACTCCCAAGTTTTATTTCTCCTCTCTCAGTTTTCATGCCTCCACAGCAACCTCCTTTACCTTGGTTTCCAATTTTTCATTTCCGGCTTCGGTATCATTTACACCCGTTCAACAGTTCGGGTAACCTCGCGGCCAAACTTCGCTTTGCTGCAGGGGAAACACCGTGCTTTCCCACGATCGACTCTAGAACTGCCTCGGAAAGTAGTTTGTTTTCTATCACCGCATTTGCAGCTTGTGGCACGGATGCATCATTGGAGAAGCAAATCTGTGGTGAAAGAGAAGCAAAGAGGTCAAAACTCCGATGTAAAGTACACGGTTAACCATTGAGAAGTAGGATTACTAACCGTGAGTGATCCTTTCGGAGATTGTGTGAAGAGAATAGAGGCGCCCGGTGGGAAGTTTTGATCTTTGAAGACCTCAATGAACTTTTCAATGGCTTTGCCTTCTGCATCAGTGTAAATTCCCACTGACTTCCAAAAGGCAACGCAATTCTCCGAAACTTTCTCAGAGTATTGCTGGCCCGTCAGTGGCAGTATCGTTGTCACCTGAATGAACTTCTCAAACGGACCTACAAAGGGATAGCGAGGATCATAATCCGTGCTATAAAACTTTAGTCATATATCTACAGTATCATAATATCCGGAAAATAGCACTAAACCTTCAGCGATTCATTTATTCTAAGTGGCATACACAAATTTATGAAATTAGAATGTAATTTATATTGGCATCTGAGAGAACGGCGAGGTATAGGATTGCCTAGGTTTGGAATGACTACCGAATACCGATTATTCTAAAACGGCTCCGCCATAAGATGCAGGGCATGAGTACTATGTATTTTCATGCCTAGTAAAGAGGATTTTCACACTTTCAGGGTGCGTTTGTTGCACCGGACTGTCTCGGACTGGACTAGCTGCAGGGACTAAGTTGGATTGGCTTAGACTAGACTAAGCTAGACTAACTTAGTGAAGCGTTTGGTGCAGTGTCGGACTAAGAAGCAGGATAATTAATAAATTCTAATATTATATTAATTTATCTATATCTCTTTTAATATTTTATTCTTACTTCTCTCATTTTTTTCCTTCTTTTTTCTGAAAGCTCTTCATCTTCTTCGAAACCCAATTCTTTTTTCTGAAAGCTCTGAAAGCTCTTCCTCTTCTTCGAAACCCAATTCTTTTTTCTGAAAGCTCTTCCTCTTCTTCGAAACCCAGTTCCATACTTTGAGATCAAATCAAAACCAACTTCCTACAATTACATATCAGAGGAATCGGACGACGGCAAGAGCGGGACCTTCCTCAAAGGTTTGCAGCACAAAAGTCATTGTTGGAGCTCTATGCAGCTGCAATTTGGTTGGGCCGCCGAGAATATTGTCGTAGTTCTCTCGGATTTGAGATGAGGGAATGGTCTCCCATAACCGCCGCCGTTACGATCTCAACACCAGATGGCAGTACTTCATCCAGGGCCTTCGCCTCGTCGACCTCGAGTACCTCCGCCGCACCAGCAACTTCCTCCCCCCACCCAACGCCTCCGAGTCCTGCTGGGTGCCTCCGCCTGCAACTAGTCTCTCGAAAATGGATCGCCCTGCGCCCTCTGCACTACCAGAATAACCTGGCAGAGCTTGCTCTTGACCTGCGAGTCCGTCGGAAACGTCTCCACCTGCGCGGCGTACCCGTCTTGGTGTGGTGCTGTGATCTCGTTGGAGAGAGGGCGCAACGCAGACGAAGCAAAGTCTTCGCAAAGGGAGGACGCCAAGCTACACAAAGGAGACGAAGCAGGTCTTAGCAGTCCCGTGGTTTTCGGGGGGTTTCACTAAGACGACCTAGTGAGGGAGATAGTCCACACGAGTCCGGGCTAGTCTCATTTAAGTTAGTCCCCAAGCTTACCAAACATGGGACAATAATCCTAGCCAGTCCAATCCCACTTAAGAAGGTGAAACAAACGCCCCCTCAATAGACTAAAAAAGATATACGGGACTATGTTACCGACATACTAAAAAATCTCTCATAACTATAAGGTCGAACATTAATGAATTTTGCTCCAAAAAAGTCAAAGAGTGTTATTTGATTCAAGTCATATTCTCAATTAATCTAAAATCTTCAATAGACCGAAAAAGTTTAGGGTTAAAAGTTAAATTAAACTCTAAATTTTACTTATTCCATCTCTAACGCACGGAAAAAAAATTTAATCGCATATATTCAAAAGTCAAAAGGTTTTGACTTTGTGTCTTTGTATGACTCTAAAACTAAAGTGGGACCCACGCATCCTTAAGAGTCAACGATTTCTTAAAAAAAAAAAAAGAATTCAGTTTTCGGGTTCACCAAAGCATGCAATTCAATTTCTTTGCTAATTATAACACGAGAAGGTAACAAACTTTGCAACGGTAACTAGAATTTACTGTCAAATTCGAACAGTAGTCAAACAGCGAAGAAACCCGTTTACCTGTAACGATGTCCCTGAAGAACTCAACGGACTCCGACAACTCCTCGGCGGTCTTACCCTTCCACTTAACGGCTAGCAGAGGCACGGCGTTATCCTCCAAGTACACTCCGATCGCCGTGAACTTCACGAAGTTGCCCTGAATCTCCAGCCCCCTCACCCCTGTGCACGTACGTTAACAAGCAAACACAGACAAATAAAAACCAAAAGCAACAAACAATGAGAATCACGGATGTATATTTTGCATTGCGCCAGAAGTGCCAAGTTTACAAACCTGCGCCGCCGAGGAACAAAGTGTTGGAGGAGCCCGGAGGTTTGACGGACGGTGGAAACGCAGTGGCCTCGACCTGGAGTCCAGCGAGCGATGGTGGTGGAGCCATTTGACAATTCATATATTGTGCAGAGAGAGAGATGGGGTTAGCTGTCGGGAACGGTGGGTTTAAATAGAGGTGGTAATTGGTCGGTCCACTCAGTAATGGGAGGAGGTTTGATGAGTAAGAAGAGGCAGGTGGGAGTGTTAAAAAACGTGGAGGGTGTTTCACCGGTCACTCAAGGGAAGGCGGGGGAGTGTCGACGAGCTGGTATTCTGGTACCAACTACCCTTAGGTTGTTTTTCCCGAAAAAAAAAAAAAGGAGGAAAAAGTCAACAGAAGACAAAATATGACCAGAAAATATTTAACAAAGTGGAGAAATAAACCCGTTTACATATGCATCGCAAGTATTTGACTTGAAGGGTTCGAATTCTCCGGAGAATGACGTATAATTACAATACTTGTAAAATAAGGAATCCCATTAGGGTTTAATTTAATAAAAAGAAGATAGAAAGATTGAACAAACCCAAAAGAACCCCAACAGACAGAGTCTTGATCAAGGCCCAAAACAAATAAATAAGATGATAAGTACAAGTTTTTCAATGATCTGAACAGTACAAGTTTTTTTAATTTTCTTTTAAAGGTCATTCGTTAAGAGACTGATACATAATTTTCTAATTAAACTTCTTTATGGATGATTTGGAATTAAGACTCTATAGATTGATAGTTCGAGCTATAACGATTCACATTTGTTGAAATAAAATATGGTCATTTATACACTACTGGAAAACCTATCTTTAATTAATCCCAGTAGTTAATAGCATATTTTCTTAAAAATGCTATGAAATACTCCTTTATAACATTTAATACTATAATTTTTTTTTTTCGACAAACAAAATTATCTACACTAAAGGATGAAAAATTGGACTAAACCTAAAAATGGGCTAGCAATTAATACCATAAGAATATAACGTTATTAAAAAGGGAGAATAAATGAAATAAACGCGCTACATTAATAAATGAAATTGGTTCAATTTTGTTTAAAACAAACATCATATTTATATAACAAGGAAAAAAAAAATAAAGTCAATTGAAAAAACAAAAGCTATCATATTTTTATAAGAAGGAAAAAATAAAGTCAATTAAAAACCAAAAGCTCCTCGCGTAGAATTCGATCATCACATATGCGGCCGGCTCTCACTCTCTTATCGAGCTATGAAATGGCAGATTCTTCGAGTCTTGATTCCATAATATTCTTTATCGACGATAATATGACCTTGATTCCACATACCACAATCTGCATCTCCAATTGGTTATACATCCCACAATTTGCATCTCCGATTCTTCAAGCTTGATTCCGCAATCGGCATTCCCGATCCTTCGAGCTTGATTTCACAGTCTGCATCTTGATTCTTCGAGCTTGACTTCAAAATCTCCATCTCCTATGATTGCAATTCATGTAGGATCTTAAAACAATCATATGGTTGTGGCTGTGGAGTAGTTCGATTCCTAATTCTCAAGTATGACTGCAAGTTTGACCACTATTTTGCTTGATGTTGCAAATGCAGTGATGGTTTGCTTTGTTCATATGACATTGTCCATTTCATGATGTCTTAATCAATATGATTGTATGTGATGTGATGAATTTATAGGATAATTAAAATTTCTTCCTTTTAAGGCTGATCTACTTATTAGTACTCTATGTAGGTACTAAATATCATATTTATGACGAATCGTTGATTTAATAATTAAGTATATTTAGATGATTAAACAATCACCGATTCAAATATTTTTCTGCATGAATGATCTCCAAATGAAGATTAAAAGACTGAATGATTTGATTATAAATTTTTTACAGTGAAGATACATTATTACAAATGGGAGAATTAACTCATCCTCAAATGGAGAATGCAAGCATTTAGCTAACACACCCATAAAAAATTTATTTATTACATTAAACAAAACAAACCATGACATGATAACAAACAAGAAACAACTTTTCTGATTTTGAGGGGACATAACATAGCTAGCGAGAGCCATTTTTTCATTTCTCTTCTCTCTGATCAGTTGCCCCAACCTCAACTTGGTTTGTGGCCTTTCCAACCCCCAACAGTTCAGGCTTCTCAGTCAACAAATCCGATAACCTCTCGGCCAAGCTTTGCCTTGCCGCTGGCGAAACACCGTGCTTTCCGATGATCGACTCCAGAATTGCCTCTCCATGTAGTTTATTCTCCATCACCTTGTTCCCCACTTGTGGGATGGATCCATCTTTCGAGAAGCTAATCTGTAGCAGTACGTACAGTGAAGACTATTATACATGAACCCTTATTACTAATTAATTAAAGGAATTGTTATTAGCACTCCAAAAATCTCGTTCTATATTTCAAACTTTCTATATTTGGAAAGAAAAATACACTTGTGAGGAGTGTAGAATGAGATTTTTGGAGTACCAATAACACTTCCCTTAATTAATCAAGATTATATATGCGCACTAAGGGATTCTTAGCTTGGTTAGTTAAGAGCATTCGTTTCAGCACTCGAGGTTTCAAATTCGATCTCACACCTCTGTTGTATAATAAAATATATAAAGATAAAAAAAGATTATATATGCGTACGTAAGTTCTAGTTACCGTTAATGAACCATGTGGTGGTGATTGAACGAAAGAGACAGAGGAGCCTGGAGGAAAGGTTTGATCTTTGAAGACCTCTAGGAACGTTTCAATGGCTTTGGCTTCTTCGCCGCTGTAAAATCCGGCTGATTTCCAAGAGGCAATGCAATTCTCTGCAACTTTCTCTGAGTACTGCCGGCCAGTTAAGTGCTGTATGAACGTCACCAGTGTGAATTTCTCAAATGGACCTACGTAAAAGATGGTGCAGGTCACATATTAAATTGCAACTAGATAATATATATTATGCTCAAGGCCAAATACATGGATATTTTAATACCCTTATGTTATCTATTAATTATACTACATTATGGAGTTCCAAATCCAATACCAGACAATTTCTTTTTTTTCCGAAATTTGGGTCAGATTGCAGATTCTCTGTGAAACTTGGGACTGATCAGACACTTCAAATCAATCTTATTTATATTTAATTTTGATCTCATCTGTTGGCGTTCTCATCCAAAGTATTAAACAAATCATATCCATAAATGAAATTAAAAAATAAATAAATAAAAGATTTTTCTGACACACATTATTCGAACGTAGCGTCTAGAAAAGAATTCTTGTTTGAACAAAAAAACTTTAAGATCATAACAATTTTAAAATAACGGAGTTTTATTTTTTATAATTTATAAATTTTTTTGTTTGGATTAACATAAAAGAACAATATAATTTGAATATGGAATTTGTTATTTTTAAACTCTTACTCAGAAATTTGGAATTGACACCTATTTACATACAGTTTTTTAGCCAAAATGGTCCCTCAGATTTGCATAACAAATCATTTTGGTCCCCGAGATTGAAAATAAATATAAATTGTCCCTGAAATTGTGCACCATCCATTATTTTGGTTATTCCGTTAAAAACTGTTAAGTGTCCCAGGGCTCTTGGCCGGAAATTTAGGCAATTTTTAAATCTTCGTAACTCAATCGTTTCTTAACCAAATTCGACTCATAATATATCAAAATGAAGATAGAAAAGTGTAGAACAAGATTATACCTATTTGGAAGCCCAATGGTTGCCGGAGATGGCTAGAAAATAGCCGGTGATTAGTCCACGGGAAAACTGGAAAACTCGCCGGAAACTGGGTAAATTTTAAACGTTCATAACTTCTTCAATCCTCAACGAAATCGAGTGATTCAAAAACAAAAATCATACTTCTTGACGAGACAAAGAGAATGGTACCTTTCTTTGATGGCTAACTCGCCGTGGTTTAGCCGGAAAATGGCTCGAAAGTGGCTAACTCAACAACCAAGCAGCCACTTTTGAGCCATTTTTCGGCCAAACCATGGTGACTTAGCTTTTGAAAAAGGTACCATTCTCTTCGTCTCGTCGAGAAGTATTATTTTTGTTTTTGAATCACTCGATTTCATTGAGTATTGAAGAAGTTATGAATGTTTAAAGTTTATCTAGTTTCTGGCGAGTTTTTCAATTTTCCCACTGATCAATCACCTTTCAGGTTATTTTCCGGCCATATCCGGCAACCATTGTGCTTCCAAATAGGTATAATCTTGTTCTACACTTTCCTATCTTTATTTTGATATATTACGAGTCGAATTTGGTTAAGAAACGATTGAGTTACAAAGTTTTGAAAATTACCCAAACTTCCGGCCAAAAGCTCTGGGACCTTTAACGGAGTTTTTAACGGAATGACCAAAATAATGGATGGGGGACAATCTCAGAGACCATTTCTATTGATTTTCAATCTTAGGGACCAAAATGATGTGTTATGCAAATCTCAGGGACCATTTTGGATAAAAAGCATTTACATAATATTTAAACTTGGGAAGTGAATGTCTGAAATTTCAAGTTTTTATTTTTTTTATTTTTTATTTTCCTTCTACACGCAGAAATTCTAAATTTCTATGTTTATGAATCCAAACAAGAGAATTGATGCATATCAATTTATAAATGTTAACTTTTATTAAAAGTCTAAGTTTATTTCTCTTATTCAAACATAGTGTTAGAAAGTAATCCACAATTTTTTTGTAACAACATATATTGGGTATTTCTATTCACGTACTTATTTTTACTTCTCACACACTCATCTCAATTTTCGACCGTTAAATCGAATGAATTGAAGAAGATCAATAGTAAAAATTAAAAAGAAGTGTGAGAGATAGAAAAAGTGTCAATAGCATTTTCCTACATATTTATGCCACCGTAGGGTACTGCTAAACCTTTGTTCTAAGCTAGACTAGCTAGTCATATATTTACCTGTGACGACGTCCTTGAAGAACTCGACGGAGTTCGCCAACTCTTGGGCCGTCTTGCCCTTCCACTTGATGGCGAGGACAGGCACGGCGTTATCCTCCAAGTACACCCCGATCACCGTGAACTTCACAAACTTGCCCTCGATCGGCAGACCCCTCACCCCTGCGCACGTTAGCACATGCAAAGTACAGTACCTCTAACGTATACTCAAAAGCATGCAAACCCAATAAACTATCATTAGTTCCTTTATCATCAAATTAATTGAACAGTTAATTAAGAACCTGTACCGCCGAGGAAGAGGATGTTGGCGGAGCCGGGAGGCTTGGTGGTCGGCGAAAACGTCGTCGTTTCAACTTGAACTGGGGTGACTGAGGGTAGTGAGGTCATTGAATACTGGTTTTCTTCTTTTGGCAAACGTTAAAATGTTTAATTTCGTTTCGATGGTGAGTGTTTAAACGGTAGGAACGAGGTGTGTGTTTTTATAGAGCCTGAAGGGCGTGATTAACGTGAGTCCGCCCTTTACAGTTTGTACTGCATCGATAACGCTAAGCTTAATTATTAATTAGAATTTAAAACTCCATGACGACCATGAGAGGTGTGTGCAGGTGTACTGGCTCCATAATTCGTGCATGAGTCACAGGTGTTGAGCAGAAGCTACATCTAACGGCCACCTTAAATTATCAAGATGACAGTGTTTCGATATTTCAAATCAAACACGATAAAATCATGTGAACACGTAAAACTGTAACTCTTTCTAGCGCACTATTTAATAATGTGAGTTTTACCATTGTTTGTGAGGAACACTTATATTAAAGAACATGTCAGAACACACATATCAGTTTTTTTTTTGGTCAAACAACTAAATTTCATTAAAGATAAAACACACTAATACAAAGTGAGATTAGTCCAAACATAGTCCAAACATAGTCCACAACAGAGTAAAAATGCAATCCATTACAAAGGTAAAGGAAACAAGTTGAGCCCAAGACAAAGCCTAAACTAAAAACCCTAGATCTGGAAACGAGAAACAACCGCTTCCACCAAAACAGCCGCACCACCATCGCCAAGTTGCCACTATTGGTAAGAAGAACCAACGAACTAAAAGAAAGAACGAAAAATGGGGGTGGGCAAGCCAAGGCACGCCTCCAACCGAAGTCCATAAAGGAAGAGCATAAGGAGCTGAATAGTTGAACCAAGTGGGCAGGAGCTCGCGACTGGGAACAACAATTTGGGAAGGAAAAAGCCTGAAACTCAGATCTGCAACAAGATTGCCAAATATTGAGACAAAACTCAAAGAAATTGTGACAAAGCTTAAGGAAAATGAGACAAGCGCAAAGCAAAACAACCAGAAAACAGGGCCCAAAGAAAAAGAAAAGGAAGAAGATGGGGCTTAGGGAAGAAGGAAAAGGGGAAAAAGGAAGGAGGAGATGAGGTTGCTACTGACTCCACTCAAGAGGAAGGGCCGGTAGCATAAGGTAGGCTTGATTTGGAGGATCTAGGTTTAGGAAAGGGGAGCAGCACCTCTAGGGTTTTTTTTTTTTTTTTGGAGAGAAGGGGGGAGCTAGAACACACATATTAGTTAAAAAAAAAAAATATTATTAGACCGTAATACTAAATGACAAATAACATTAATGTTTGGAAATTATATTTGATATCGGTGTTGTGGTGATTTGGGCGTCCAACGTATGTTGCTAGGTGTCCAAAGCATATGACAACTTCAATCCTACTTTTGGGCCTTTTGCTATGTACCACATAGTATAATTCTGTATGTAAAATGTTTGTATCAGCATCCAATCCTACTTTTAGGCCCGCGGATATTGCTACCCTTTTCATGCGCATTATTTATCAGCATCCACTGAAAAATAGCCCCAAGAAATATATAGTTAGGTAATTTTCAACCGAAGGAGTTACGTTTAGCCCCCGTCTAGATTACAGTCTTGTAAGAAATGATTTTTTAATGAACAGTACCATACTATATCTATGTACAATCTTCAACCAAAGAGGGCTATTTTTTTACTCCCCTCAATAATTTATTATTTTAAATTTGTTCTTTAATTTTATTGGTTAAATGAATTAAACTACCATATTAAAATAAGGTTTTCAAACATATTTTGAGGGCCACTTGTCGCTAAATGTTGTTTAAGTTTCATGTTATTAAATATTTTAATCTTATTTGCATGTTAACAACTTAGACATTAAAATGATGTAAGATAATATGAAAGGTAAAAATGATGTGAGAAATGCTGTAGAAATGACTTAGGTATTTATAAAAAAATAATAATAATATTAAAAAAAAAAAGCTACATGAAATCAGCTAACAGCACAGCTAGGCACAACTTTCAAGATTGGTGGCTATGTTTGGCCAGCCTCTGGCCATTTGGCTATATTATGGCCTGGTGGGTCCCAAATTTTTTTGGCCCAGCCCTTCATTGGAGATGGGTTATGTATCAAAAAGGGCTATGTTTTGTCTTATAGTCCTTTGGACGGCTCGATTGAAGATGACCTTACCTTGCATATGACACTGTATATGTACTGTAGTCTTTTCAAGTGATTTATTTATTTATTTTATATTTGTTTAAATTGATATAAACAGGCTTTATGTGACATCCCACATCGTCTAGAGGAGTGATCCTTATATGTATATTCTCATCCCTACCTAGCACGAGGCCTTTTGGGAGCTCATTGGCTTCGGGTTCCATGGGAACTCCAAAGTTAAGCAAGTAGCGCACGAGAGCACTCCTAGGATGAGTGACCTATTGGGAAGTTCTCGTGTGAGTTCCCAGAAACAAAATTGTGAATGCGTGGTCAGGGCCCAAAGCGGACAATATCGTTCTACGGTGGTAGAACGGGGCCGGGAAATGGTCCCCCCGGGCCAGGATGTGACATTTATAAGGGAAGAGATCTTTATTTTGTAAGTATTGATTCATAGATAATCTATGCAAAAATTCAATTTCATCAGAAACTATTTGCTCATTTAATTGTCCCGATGAAATTTTAATGTTTATTAGAACATAGTGTTTATCAATTTATTTGAATTGCATTAAATGCCTTAGAAATTTTCGATTTAGCTAATATTTGCAAAGATGATCTATAAGATGTAACTTGAAAAATAAACAGTTCAAATGAGTTTAGGTGATTAAAATTCAATGAGGGTGGACCCACAACTAACCCCCATTTTTTAACAAATGGGAATATCTCTTTAAGGGGAAATGATGTTTTCCGGATCCTTTCCATCAAGTCCACTAAGGTATATAATTCAGATCTTTGAAATTTGACCTAATGATTAAAATTATTATAAATTTTAAAGTATGTTCCTATTTGTAGTTGTTGAATCAAATTTCAAAGGTTCAAATTGTATGCCTTGATAGACATGGTGGAAAGGATCCTTCTCTAAGTAGCTTTCTTACCAAAAAAAAAAAAGGGAGAATCATCAGTTAAACTAGAAATGGACTGGTAGTTTGTCTAGAGCAAGGACACATCAACCCAAAACCCCCCAAAACGACGACGCTTAAGTCCAAAAACGTGACAAACAAAACGCTGACTTGTTCATCCTCTCTTCTTCCTTCCCTCCGTCTCAACTGGCAATGGTTCCCCAAAAAATCCCCAAATCCTTCCCCCATTTCCCCTAAACCCCAAACCCTAAACCTCTCGCCTCCTCGATCCCTCTCCCAAAACATCAAAATCCCAAAAAAATTTAGCTTTTTAGTCAAAATTTCTGAATAATTTCAACAGCTGGAGCGCAAAAACTCGGAGAAAATGTCGTGGCTGAGATCGGCGGTGAGCAAGGCGGTGGAGGTTGGGAACAAGAACAACCTCACCCGCACCGTCAAGAACTACGCCGACTCCGTCGTCCAGCACGCCGGCCAAGCCGTCGCCGAGGGCACCAAACGGTTCCAGGACCGAATGGTAATTTCACATTTTCCGTCAATTTTCTTTGTGCACATTTTCCTCCATTTTTTCACACTCGCATTTGTTTACAGGGAGGTCGGAGCTTTAGGAGTGTGAAGAAGAGTATACAGCGATTGGAGGAAGCGGCTGTGTCCTGCAGGGGCCCCGAAAGACTTGAGATACTGAGGAGGTGGGTGCTGCTGCTGAAAGAGGTTGAGAGGCTAAAGCTTTCTCAGGGTTCTGCGGAAAAGAAGGAGAATGCGCCGGAGCAGCCTGCTGTGGCCAATGACCCAAACGAGATTCGAAAAAGAATCTCTCTGGTTCGATTTTATTTTGTTTTTGAACTTTTATTTCATTTCATTCGGTTTTAGTGGTTTCGTTGGAGTATAGTGGAAGCTTATGATTTTCGGTCATGTGATTAGGTTTTGTATTATGATTCTGATATTGGTGGCGAACCGATGAATTTCCGCGAAGTTTTTCTTCAAAGTCAGGCTTTGGAGGGCATAACACTGTCCATGGTATGAATTCGAGAAAGGAATGCTGCAATAATCAATGCCATTTAAGTATTTAGACATTTTTATGAAAGAAGTGTGCTTTTTTGTTTTATTCTTTTAACTAATGATTTCAGAAATAGTTCAGCGAAACTGGTGAGTGGTATGATGGATGAAAGAATGTGGTACATGAAGAGATTGCTTATTTCATTAGTTAAGGGAAGAACTTAATGGAGGCATGGGGGAAAATGGTTTGAGTCGGGATGGTCTTGTTGAACAGGCTGCTCTTTGTTTTTGTCTCAAGCATTACGACATATGCTCTTGGTTTGTGAAGCACATGGAGTTTTCTTCTGTAATCAGAACCAGTAGCTTTTTCTTAACTAAGGAAAAAAGGGGGATTAGGAAACTTATCTTTTTCATCAAATGCCTAAAACCTCTAAAACTGGAATTATCCTAAATGATCTTATATTTTTTTTGAAATGACTGATTCTGGAAGTTAACTGATGGTTAACTCTTTTCTATGTCTCAGATTCTTGAAGCTCCAAACGATGAAGAGGTTGCCCTGCTCATGGAGATGTTTAGGTGAGAACCAGGACTGTCCACTAGTGTGTAATGCAGTTCATGGTTTGTTAAGTGCCAGTTTTATTTATCCAGGTTAGCAAAAATAAGGCCTGAATATATGAAACTGCAGGCTCTGTCTTACTGGAGGAACAGAAGTTCATCATGCAGTAGTGAGCAGTATACAGGACCTGGCAACAGCTTTTTCAAGCTACAAAGATGAAGTATTGGTAAAGATATAAAACTAAGAGTGCACTTCAAGATTATATCAACAAATATGAATTGTGGAAAAGCTTGATATATGCATATTTTCTGTAAAGTTTATATAGATATAACTCACGCAAGTCTTGTACTTCTTTTTGCTTAAGTGAAGCATACTGGCTCATATTCTCTTGCATTCAGGTAAAACGGGAGGAATTGCTCCAATTTGCACAAGGTGCAATTACGGGGTTAAAGATAAATGCTGATGTCGTAAGGTGTGCACAAGATAACAGAACTCTCTCTCTCTCTCTCTCTCTCTCTCTCTCTCTTCACTTGATATAGCAATTTCATGAGTAACTTCTTATGTTTGCATAACCCTAGTTTTATTTACCACACGCATTCACACCCAAAACATGATTGTGAACGAATTATCACCTTGTAAGTTGATGATTGATCATTAGCAGATCTGATCTTAATACATATTAATCTCTTTTGGCTTTTTCTTTTTTGAGAATAGGCAGTGGGATTTTGTTCTTGTATGGATATGGACTAGTCCTGCCACTCAATAGATGTATGGTTATGCAAATAAATTTGTTTATTTTTATTTTTTAGAAACTTTTACAGATTTGTTGTCTGGGATGGTGACCATGGGCATTTAATTATCATACTGTTTGGATAGAGCTTAAAAGGATGAGACTAGACCTCAATGGGCTAAAGGGGTGAGATGCGGCTGATAAACATTTTCTTACCTGTGTTTTTATATATGTGTCCTGCTACAGAATAGATGAAGAAGCCTCTAGTCTAAAGAGGAAGCTTGATGCAACAAAACCACCTCTGAAGCCCTCAAATGAAGGTCATGACAAACCATCAGAAGAAACAAAATTGGAAACAATAGAGGTGAGCACAATTGCCATTATTTATTTTTGTGGTTCTAGTGTGTCATTACTTTTATGTAATTAATCATAAGTTACAAAGACATGTCAAATATTATCAAGTGGAAGACTAGTGGCTTAATGATGCATTTTTAGTCATGGGCGACCCAATAGATAGCTGCTACCATGTGTGCAATTTAAACTTCTGACATTCTGAATATAATAATAATGATAATATTATTTATATGGGAGGCTTCCATGTAAAAGGTGTCCATTGAAGCTGTAACAAATAAAAATTCAAAGTTTACAACATACAGTAAAAGAAGCCATTTAAGAATTCCATGTCTAGGAAAAAAGACAACTGGCTGCTTATTGGGGATTGAGTAAAATATCATGCAGAAGGTGCAAATGAACTGTTACAATGTCTACGGGGTGCATTCTGTACGTGCCTAAGTTCTGCTTTTGTTCCTTCTTTATAAGGTCCAATTTGATGGATTTCTGATAGCTTTTTATTGGCCAGTTTTGAGTGAAAATTAAGAAAATAATGGATATGACCGCCCTATGTTTCTTGTAGGCATTAAAAGAAGCACTTACACAAATTCGAGCATGTTCCAGATTAGAAGGGATTTTACTGAAGAAGAAATTGTTCAACAATGGAGATTCTCCAGAGATCCATGCTCAAAAAGTATGTCTTTTGTCGTCCTGCTTCATCATTTATTGGTTACATATCTGAAAGCATGGTTTCAAACTTGTTGGCAGCATCTTGCCTTTATTTCTATAGTTTATGAATTTAGTGCAGCTCGATCCTTTGATTGTTACTTTTGCACCAAGAAATTGCCAATTTTCTTTCAAGGTTATAAACTCCTATTACCAACATTGTTTTGGTTGTACACTCAGGTTGATAAACTGAAGGTACTATCAGAATCTCTTGCTAGCTCCTCTTCAAAAGCTGAAAATCGTATTTCAGATCACAGGTATAACAACACTTTAGGAACCATTTGTGCTCATGTTGCTCTTCTATAGTGTTGAATCATGTTGTTACAATTGCTATTTTTTCTTATAATACATGTGTGTTCATTATATACTCCCTGTTGTCTTGGTTTCAAGTCAAATGTTAAGCTATCGACTAATAAACATTAACTCAAAAGTCAAAACTTTATATGACTTGGCTTGATGTATTGTATCCATATAGAGATTAGTGAACCTTGAGTTTGTAACTGTAATTCGGCGAAGAATTATTGATTTGATTAACAGTAATGGCAAGTCTGTGCTTCTTTTATTATTGTATTAGATGCACGGAATAGGGAAAACAAAATCACTTTCTTTGTTCTTTCTAAATGACAGACTTCAAAAAGAGGAGGCAATAAAGGTTCGTGTAGCCAGAGCAAGTGAAGTGACTGAAAGAGAGAAGGTAATGTCCTTCAACCGTACTTAATAACAACATGAAGTTTGTACTAAATCTAGACACATTTATGTAGAGAGGTTTTTATCGGGCAATTGCACTGTTACCTATCAAGTTTAAAACGTGTGGATATTTTATTTTTAGCATCTTTATTCTTGTGGGAAGTATTATTTGAACTCCAAAAGAAGCTTCGTGCAATCCATATGTGAGTGCATGGTGGAGTCTCAAAAGCTAATTTTGAAGTTCATAAACCATTCCCTTCGTTTTTTTCTCCCAAGGGTAAAACCTTCATTTTTGGTTTATGCTAAGGCCTGTTTATAGATGTGGTAGAGATGAAATGCTTCTGTACAAGCATACCACAGGTTTTGGAGAGGGAATTTGAGTTTGTCTTGTGACCATTTTCAGGAAATAACAGCTGAGATTTCAGAGATTGAAAAAGAAAGGGATGATCTTGAGGCAAAACTGAAAAAGGTGTTTCTGCTTTGATTTTTCCCCTTATCTATTAAATCAATTTGCTCTCCATTGATTGCGAATTTCTAAACACAAACCTTCTGTAGGTTAATATCTCCTTGGCTGCAGCTAATGCTCGCCTTCGCAATACCAGGGAAGAGAGAGAACAATTTGAGGAAGCTAACAATAAGATTGTTTCTCACTGCGAAACAAAGGTTTTGATTATTTTCAAAGTTGTTCTGCCCACAATGGGAATGGGCCAGGGTTCTTTTTTACTATGCTGCTCACCTTCTGGAATATTTCAGGTTCAGTGTGTTACACCTTTTGGCCGTTTGCATCATTCAAATCTTTGTTTTGTTCACAGGAAGATGAGCTCTCAAAATCTATTGCATCATGTAAGGTAGAGGCTGATATTCTAAAGACATGGGTTAATTTTCTCGAAGATACTTGGGTTCTCCAGCGCTCATTTGCAGATATGAAGGAGAAGCAGGTCAAGTATGTTATTCAACTCCATGCATTTGGATTCTTTTCTCTCTTCAAATCTATGCATGGTTATTTAAATAACTCTTGTTTTTCTGCATTTTCAAGCGATGAATTGGAGAAACATGAGGACTATTTTTTGAACTTGGCCATTGACCATCTCTCTGCTTACAAGGTATTGACTCTCTCTCTCTCTCTCACACACATTTATATACATGATATCTCTTTCAATGTTCTTGACGCGCACCTTTTATCTTCTGCAGAAGGAGTTGGGGCCTTCTATCAGCCATATTGGGACATTTGTAGAGAACCTAAAGAAATTGAGTGAGGGGTATTGTTTCTTAAACTGTGATGGTTGCACCTTCATTATGTTTGAGCTGTTTTTAATGTAAATTGACCTGATGAGACAGATCAAAGATGGCATCTAGTGCAGAGAATGAGGATTCCAAAGTATTAAATCCAATAAATAATCTTGAGAAGGAATATTTGGACCACGAAACCAAGGTAAAAATATGTTGTTATATTATCGTATCAGGAATTATGTCAGTCTTATTTGTCTATATCATCTATCATCCCAAATTTCTCTTGCCAGTAGTCTTTTATAGTAACACGTTAGGAATGCTTCAAATGTGTCTAAGGTTTCTCGGTTCCATAATTTACCTAATTCTATGTGTTGTGCAAAATTTATCTACTAAAAAACACAACATTGATATTGTCCTTTTGTTTCAGATTATTACCACCTTCAGTGTAGTAGATAACATCAAAGAGCAGTTTTATGGCCAACGAGCCGAAGTTTCAAGGTATGAACTTGTGGGGGTGTATGAACTTGTTTTGTTTTCCTTTGTACACTTATGTTTGGAGATACTCACCAAAGCCCCTGAATATGATGTACTTGGCTTGCGTATTCCAGGAAAAATGACCCGAGGGTTAAGGAGCTGTTTATTGATATTGAAAAATTAAGAGAGCAATTCGATGCTATTGAGAGACCAAATCTACAACTGGAGAATCCAGCCCCAAAAGCAGAAACTTCATCTAGTGAAATGCTGCAGAGCGATCCATCTCACATCCCAACAGAAAGCACAGGAGCACAGAAAGCAGGGACAAATAAGCAGTCTGGGTCAGGTGCAGTCAGGGCAGAGCAAACGCTTGACACGGAAGCGGAACTAGCTAAGCTGGAATCTGAGTTTGGCAAGGTTGGTCAAGACTACTCAGCAGAGGAGATTAATGACTGGGAATTCGATGAACTTGAAAGGGAATTCCGTTCTGGTGATTCATCAGCCAAATAGCCCAATGCTTATGCTGGCTAGGTGATCGTTACCTGTGTATTATAAGCATGATATAAGACTCTACCTGACCTCCGAAAACTTGCACATACTTCAATTTGTAACTTCATTGTAACAAGTGACGGATTATCAATTTGTTAATTCTTCCTTGAATTCTCGAACCATTATGTTGTATTCTGGAATTACAAATGAATGAATGGTGTAATTTGGATGTAGCCGGTGACCATAACGCTCTTTTCGACAATTTAGCTTCTCCACACCGTGTCTCGTAGAACCGTTCGATGCCAATGAGAATGTGGCTACAATTGTCCCTCTTTTCCTGGAGTGGCGGACGCAGGATGTCCACCGGATGTTTATGCCGGTCTTTCAGACCCACAAATGGAGGAATCCAGAGAAGAATGTGGGGGTTTCAAGCTCTTTTGTTTATGTGGACTTGAAAAGGTTTCCGGTTATAGAAGTATAATTTTTGTTTTATGTTTCAAGAGCACCATAATTACGCAGGGCCTCCTATGTTTTTAGCACAAAGGGAACAGAAGCTAGTGGCCTGGACATTAAACATTTCTCCACCCAAAAGTCCTTTCTACAAAAGCAGCTTCTAAAACGACTTCCCAAAGAAGTTAGTTTCAAGCTATTGTTTCATTTCTTTCTTTTGTGGGATGCCCGGCAAAGGGTGCCCCAATTAATCAATCCATAGAGGCTCTACATGTCAATCCTTGAACCAATCAGATAGCTCAAGCATCCTGGATTTTAGGGTTGTGGGTCATTTTTTTAATATAATTTGGTTACGATATTTGTCATTGCATATAACGTTAGAGTTGTGCTAGGAATAGTCATCACGGGAGCAGTGATTATCAACCATTGATGCGTTATGGAATTGATCTAATCAACAACTAACAATTACTCATACGCGTGAGTGATTATTAGTAACATTTTCATAAAGGTAAATGTAATACGTATTGGTTGTTTGATCCTCATTATATAGGAGAAATTCTTGTGTCCAGACGTCTGTATAAGGCACCAGACACAAATGAGTGAGACCTACAAAGGTGGGCAAAACCAAAATACAAAAGAGTGAGATATTTTATGTGTGGTTGGACAACCTCGTGATCTGGACGTCTGCAACTAAGAAATTCTCCTTATTCGGGGATGCAAGAGTTAAAAGCACGAGAAGGTATTGACATGGTAAAGTTTGATGGAGGAGATGATATTGTGGAGTAGGGTTTGGGGCAAGTCATGTCCAAGTGGGGTGTCTTGTGACTACTCAAGCCCTTAAAATCTAAGCTGGGATTCTATTTAAATGTACAGTTTGGAGCCTGGACCCAAGCTAAAGAAAACACATTTATGAATGCTTGCTGTAAGAGGACAATAGTGCCTACTACTTAGTGCCGTTTGTCTCAAGAAAATCAGAGAGAGAACAAAACAATCTAACTTTGATGCCAACATATGGATATTTTAGAAAGTGGGAGAGGCCACAGATATAAACCTTGTGTGATATGGCATACTGACGTCAGCATGCGACCCCTTTCACAGAAAGATAGACCTCTACATGTAAATTCGATTTAGGGTTACTTTTTGTGTGAGGCGCCGCATACTAATGCATATATGCAAAATTTCTCCACTACAAGTCTACAATATGCGTACTATTATCAATACCTAAACCCTGAATTCTAAACTCGAAACTTAGTACGTGCGTTATAATTTGAGTGAATTCAGATATGCAACATAAGCATAATCAGCTGACCAAAACATATGATCAACTTTAGTAGCTAGTGAGTGGTCAGGTAGTCTGAGGAACGGAATAGGCTATCAGAAGAGCCATGGCCAACCATTTGGTTTGGGTTTTGAAAAAGGAGGGAATCCCATTACTGTTTTTTAGTGGTTAAAATTTGAGAAGAAGAAAATAAAACACAGAAAAAGATGGAACGCAAAGATGGGGAGTGTGTTGGGAGGGAGAAGACAAACGGAAGGCATTCCTTCCGGAAATATCCCTTTCCCACCACCAACTGTCGTCTGTCGGCTTCTGTCTTGGCCATGTTTGAGGTTGACAATTTTCTCATTTTCTAGAAACTAAAAAGAAACTCTTGTTTCAGAAATTTGATAATTTTTCGAGAATAATATTGTTTGGCTCTTTTATACGTGAAATATTATCTAATACGAGGAAAACTTATGTGTGAGTGTTCGACCATATCATCCATATTATATTTGTTATAAAAGTGTAAGACTCATTGTATTGTGATCCAGATCAACGTCACGTTGGAATAAACCGGTAAGAACTAGTCAAACATCCCCACCAAAGGGTCCCTTATTTATACTACGTATTAAGAAAATTGTCTTAGTCGACCAATGAATGTAAAATTAGTATTGTGTCTTAGTACTCTAAATCAGTTTAAATATAACTTTAATAACTAAGGAGTGATGTAGCAATTTTGATTTATCATTCGTCACTGCACACTCAACTTTTTAATCCTCGTCTCTCTACTCTTGTACAGGACTCACATATATAACATGTGCCGTCAATTCTAGTACGATATACATATGCAAAGATAACTCGTTAAAATTGCAAAAGGATAATTCGTGCATGCATGTCAAGCTTTAATTTGTGTGCGAAATGAAATATGACGCATAAGCATCAAAGATATGCGTGCATGCACGTAAAAATATGAAATAAAAGTGAAGAACAAACCCAGGAATCCAGTAAAAGTAGCAGATGATCAGGTGAAGAATATAAAGTGATTATTTAGTTCTAATTACTACTCTATTGGATTACAAGAGCTTTTTCAACCTTTAGCTCCAAGCATTACTCCACTGATTAGAAAAGCTTTTCAAGTTTTGTTTTCATAGAGAGAGAGAGAGAGAGAGCACTGATTAGAAAAGCTTTTCAAGTTTTGTTTTCGTAGAGAGAGAGAGTTATTTAAACTCTTCGACTGCAGAAAAAAGCCAGGTTTTGAGACGTGGGGTTGGTCTCGAATTTGAATTTTACCACAAAGATGGTGAGTTTGAGAAGTACTTAAAGAAATACTTATTTTCTTGTGCATGCGCCTAATTTTTGGGTTATTAAACTCACTAATTGAATAGGTGGCATTGGTTTGCTTGACTGCTAGTCTACCGCAGTCGCCCATGTCGATTATTTTATATGCTTTCAAACAAAGATTTACATTAAACATAGATGCCAATATAGTAGTATCTCAAACCAATCATGTAACGTCATGTAAAATTTTAAAAATGTGACATCGTATTTTTGGTTCGGAATATTATTGGGACGTCCCAAGGGATATATTCCTCATGCCTTCGAGTTTCGATCGAAAGTAGCATTTTTAATTTACATATTCTACATCAAAATATTCAACTGTTAGGGCACTATAACGTCTTTTTTTTTAAGTTCAATTTTTTAAATGTTTCTTATTAACATTATCAGTTCTTGACTAGACTATTTAAGTATTTGTTATGGTAACTTTCAACGATTCAAGCATTGTTTAAGTTTGAGATGTTGAAATCCAAACAAGTAAAAATTCAAACAATTTTGTGTCTAACAAAGACCAAGTCACTGAACAATAGCCGGCCTAGGCCAAGTTGATGATTGTAATTAAGGGTTAAAGTAAATCATCAATAGATATTAATCCTTTAATCATGGTTCTTGCTTAATTAAGCATTTTTAGATATTATGGACCACAATATTCGTCTTTTTTCACAACTTAGGAACCTTAAGGTTGATTGGAAAATGCATATGGCCCCAAATTAAAGTTTTAAACTTAATGATGCTAACTACAAAACTTTTCAAGGAGTCTTGTATACAGGCAGATCGTTGAAATACATTATGAAGTGGTCTCCACAAAACGTGTCAAAAATTATGTAAAAAAATCAGTGTAACAAATCCGTCCCCACACACACACACACACACACATACATATTCCTTTTTTCCAAAATATAAACAATGAGAGAAACATAAACAAAGAAATAGACAACCACAGATTTATAAATGATAGAGAAAAAGAGAACATTTAGAAATGAGCCAACAGAAAAAGGTCCACATCTAATTTTATATTTGGAATTTGGCAGCACTAAAAAAATATTCGAAAAACAGTTTATTTTTTACTATAAGTTAGCACCATCGACAATCTCTAAAGGTTGCATAACAACTTTCAAAAACCTCACAAAGCTCGTCTTCAAGCACCACAGAAGCCATGGCTGTAGACCACCTATCCTGTGACCATGCAGACGACGACTACATCGACATGGATGTCGGTTCATACTCTGCCTTCCTCAACCATTCCATGAGCTCTCCTCCACACGCCAGAGAGTTTGAGTTTCAAATGTCATCCACTTCTTTGGAGAGAGATCCCCCCACAACTTCTCCAGCTGATGAGCTCTTTTACAAAGGGAAACTCCTTCCCCTCCACCTCCCCCCGCGCTTACAAATGGTCGAGAAACTACTACAGAACTCCTATTCTAGTTTTGATCACCAAAAAGATATGTTCGAAGAATTCTATAGCACTCCATTGGCCACCACTGCCCCAACTCCAACTACAACCAGCACCCCATTTGAGTCCTGCAATATTTCGCCTTCGGAGTCTTGCCAGGTTAGTAGGGAGCTGAATCCCGAGGAGTATATTTTGGAGTACTCAACTGAAGCAAGCGGCTTCATAAATGAAAACCCGAAAAAGTCTTGGACCAAAAAGTTCAGGCAGTCATTGCTTGGTTCAAAGCTGAAGTCTTCCCGGGCTTACCTCAAGTCTCTGTTTGGCAAATACAGTTGTTCCAATGAGTCCAGTGCAGCTGCTGCCAGGAATGTAGATGGAGGAATGGCTTTCAAATCTGAGGATTTAAGTAAATATATGAAGACATCCAAGAGCCCATTTGGACACACTCAGAGGGAGAAATACCAAATGTCTGCTTCTGGTGCGAGGAGCTTCAGCAAAGACAAGATCATTGAGGATGGTGCTGCTCTCCACAGGAGATCATTCTCACTGGCCGTCAAACGGAATCCAACAAAGATCTTGACATCCTCTTCATCATCTTCGGGCTCTTCATCTTCTTCTTCATCATCTTCAAATCATTCAAGTGGGACTCAGGAGCTGCAGTTTCTGAAGAGATGCAACAGTGCAAGTTCAGAAATTGAGAGTTCAATTCAGGGGGCAATTGCACATTGCAAGCAGTCGCAGCAACGTTTCCGTTCAAGAAAGACAGTAAGTGAAGTTGGGTTCTACTCCTTGTCAGCTTCCAGGATAGCAGCTTGCGAGAATCAAGAAAGACCGGAGCTTTGCAGGGGCTGAAGGGGATCTCAGTGAGTGAGAGGGAGGGATGGCAAAGTACAAACTTTTGACTTGTGTTAGTGATGTGCTCTTTCTTTCCTTCTTTCACAAATTTGATAAATGGATATGCTTTGATTCAGTGCAAGGCTGTCAGAAACTCTGTCATGGCAAGATAAATTGAGCACAAACAAATAAGGATTAACCAACACAAATTTCGAACCCTCAAATCAGCAAGCATTCAACAATTTTGATTTACTGATGTCTTTTAAATCACCTGATACTTTCTAGTAAACATTTTCTTAGACAGGACGTCATGTTTTTCCCTATTCCTGACAACTGTTTCACTTCCAGCAAATTCCGTAGCTCTAGACTTCAACTAGCTAAGTTTTGAATCTACAATAGCTATCTTTTAAGATGTCATAAACCAGTGAATTGGGAAAGAAAAGTTCGGGATAGTATCCGCGTCAACAGTCTTCATCAACCCTGATTTTATTCAAGGAGTCACCCAATGGACTATGAATCGATGAACATAAATAAATAAATAAATCTTCTCATCATCATATATGGATAGCTAATTTTATTCAACACCCATCAATTCAATGAGCCGACACCATTCCCCGATGAATATTTAAGTGCAAAGTACCTTCGATTAGGCAAAGATCAACATCATTATGTCCCAGCGAATCATCAAACCCCAAATTTCGAAAAGCCCACCTCTCTGCCCCTCAAGAGTAGCCAGAAGACACCAGCGTCCATTATATGTATTAACAGAAGAAAATGATTCTTGGATCAACAATGAAAACATATTCACTCATTCTTACTGCATCAAACAAAGTAATCCTAAGGCACAGTATAGGTGAAACAAATTACTAAGTTGACAAAAGGAAGTAAATGTGCAATAATTTAATACAAGAGGAAATCTTCAAGTGCAAGTAAAAGAAAACAGCCTTTACTTTGGCTTTTGTTCCTTCCCCTTTTCTTTTCCCAGATACTCCCTAGTGGGAAATATAAACCTTAAATTAAGTGAGCATGTCAGCTAAAGATTTGATAGGATTAGAGCAAAAAAGAACAATTAAAGGTCTAATTGATGTTGTTGAGCACTATGGGTTAGCAGATACACATCTAACCACAAACCTTTTTCCCCACCCACATTTTAATGTTAACTGGGAAAAAGAAGGAAATGGTAGGGCTTGCAGACCAGCTGGATTGCTAGTTAGATCAGCACAAAAGCCACAAAGTTAGCATAAAAACTGAGGTATAGCATCCACAACCATTTTTGCCCAACAGAGATCAGTATGTAACAACATTTGTTATACCTCATTCTCGACTATCTTCCTCTTTAGGTAGAAGTTTTGATTTTCCGTTAGGTATCCACGGACACGGGCTTATATCATATTCAGAATTCAATGTCAATAGCATAAACTAAACTCTATCCTTGGTTGCGTAAGATTACATTTGTTCTTGGCTAAAATAGTTTAAGGGTCAACTGAGGCGGAAAATTATTGGTTATTTAGTTTGTTATTTTTTCGGCTTAATCTAAGAACGGGCTTTTGGAAGTTTTAGGATTTATCACTAGGCTATCCCTATAACCTGGAAGATTTGGATGTAGCTTAAGCTCATCGTAGAAGCTAATATTTGACATTTTCTCTTTTCGATCCTTGCATATCTTTTCTTGTGATAGCATAACAATTATACCATAAACATATGATATCCGCAAACAAGCAGATAAGACAATTGCTACTCTTCATCTAACTACACAAACATCGTAATAAATCCAAAACTCTGTATAATCAACAGAAAACTTCCACTACGAAACAAAGGTAAACTAAGCCCGCCATGTATGACCGTTACAGCTGACTATAATCTGTACTTAAAGGCAATGATTTTGTCAATGCATCACAAACAAACATCTTTTATCATTCTTTCTGGTATGCACATCCTACTGAAAACCAAAACATAACACACAAACCCGATGAGGAAGAATTTACATGTACTGCAGAGCTGTAACTTGTTCGAAAATCAAGTGCCTTAGTGCCTTGATTCATCGGCATCCATCTTTATGGGCAGCTGCGTTCATCCAGATGGATCTTGCCATTTCCTGAACACGAACAAATTCAATCATCGACATGAACACAAATATTCGTCCACACAATCAAAACACGTACACACGCGTACACAAACATGTACTAGACAAATATCAATATACGACTATACGTTATGTATGGAAGAATTAAGTCGACACATTCGCCACTTACCGGTAATTATGCAGGACACGAGTCACTTGACTGCAGCTTGATAACAATCTGCCACAAAATATATTCCAACTACCAAGCTATATCTCTCCCACAAAACATCAAAAGCTTACTCCTATATGCGTCTCTACAACTAAAAAGTTCAGAACTTCGCTTTCAGTAACATGTTGAAACAATTGCAGTCCATACAAATAATGCATCAAATTAATCACCTTATTTCGCTTTCAGTAACATGTCGAAATCAATTGCAATATAATCACCTTACTTCGCTTTCAGAATTAACCATAGAAATAAAAGAAAACTAACGAAAAGTCTAAAAAAAAACTTCTCTTTTAATGAAAAGTTATTTTTAAAGGTATAGTGAATAGTACCAGGAAAAAGTATAAATATGATTTTTCGTTAAAAATGAACAGTCCCGGAAGTGTTGTTAAACCTTCCAAATAATAATGCATCAAATTAATCACCTTAGTTCTCTCATTGCTTCCAATGCCCAACAAAGCCGACTAGAATCCTCCCAGCCAAATTCAATGCCTGAAAATTCTCACATTGCAATCAAACTCAAAACTTCCTAATCGCAAAACACAATTCAAAAACGCAGAAAACAAAAACAGGGTTACCTGCCGACAGTTTCTGAAACGCAGAATCCGAGCTGAGCTCCCTCTCCAACTCCAAAGCTGGTCCTGTTTTCAAAAACCCAGAATTTATCAGTGCGTTTTCGTTTTTAAGTTCAAATCATTCGGTTTTTCACCTTGGAAGCGTAGGATTTGGCTTCGGACAGAGCACTGAGGAGAGAAGCAGCTGCATTAGTAATAAAACCAGTGAGTGATTAGGAGATTAAGAATTAAGATTTGAATTAATGCGTTTTAAGCAAAATATTAGGGTTTTTTGGGTTTTGCTTGATGTTTGAACCTTTTGCGTCGCCATGGAGGAGTTCCAGACGAGGTTCGAGCTCGAGAACCAGGCGGTCGACCATGGTTTGGAGATGGGAAATTCGGGATATTTCGGGGGCAATTTGATCAATTGAAGAAATGCTAGCGCAGTCATAGGCTATGACTCATAGCCGAACTCCTTCTGGTCACAGCCTCGCCGTGCTTCGCGTGGATTCGAACCATTTCCGGCTGAGTTTGGAGGGAAGGAGCGATCAACCTTGAAACGACGCCGTAAAGCTGGCCTCTTTCTTCCGTTTACTGCACTGTTAACTTGAGGTAAAAAATCTGTATTTCCGTTTGACTGTTAATTTTTTCTCTCTTTATTTAGTTGAGAGATTGGTTGTTATAGGATAATTATAAACTCGTTACTCATTTGACTAAAATAGGAGAAAAATTATCATAATAGTACGGAGCATAACACGTAAAATGTTTCAAATGTCTCGACTGTCCTATATTTATTACTTAAAATTCATCCAATCGACAAACTTCAATTCAATTTCCTCCTCCAATTACAAAATTCGAATTGTCAATCGTGTCGTTTAACATGACAGATATACAAAAAATTGAAGATATTTAACGTGTTATGCTTCATAGCAATCGTGTCAGTTTTTCTGAATTTTCCTGTTTCAGCAAAAGAAATTTAGAATTATACCTGTTACAAGTGTTCTTAATACATGCATCAATATTGTTGAAAGTGCATAACATGTTCCGTTGGCAATAATAATACCGACACATCACGAATGACGTATCAACAATAAAAACGGGCTACGTAACAAAAACTAGTACTAGCTACTCGTGAAAAGTGAAAAAAAAACATAAAAGTTACTCGTCTTGACAAATATACATACAAGACAAGTGCAGTTTTTCCAAGTAAAAACCAAGCAGAGTATAAACTGAGGGCAGATAAATATATTGCTGTTATTCAACTCCAGGATCTTTCCTGGAGGTCACGGATATACCTAAACACCTCTGCACCAACTCAACATCCATTTTCGTAGTGTTTTTAGTCTCTACAATTCCTCTACGATGGTGCAAATTCTGTGCAAATTCAGATCAAAGGGCAAAAATTCGGTCGATTTCCGAATTGGAATAGTCAGAGGGCATCCATGAGTTGGAACCGCTCCTCCTCGTGTGCTTCTCCCTCTTCCTCATGGACCGTGTCCGCTTTGACTTCACCACGTAGTATGTCATGGTGCCGAGAACTGCCGCCATTATCATTCCCCCAACCACTGTTACAAGAATGGCGGCCCATCTGTGGTGCCGGCCAACCACTATGTAAGAGGAGGCTATGAATGCCACCGAAGTGCAGACTGAAGCCAGCCACATCAACTTGTTGATTATCACCACCACCCGTTTCTCTGCCTTTGTCTCGCCTCTGACCAAGGTAATTTGAACTACCACAACAGCCAAAGACGTAAAGAGGGCAATGGCGTTGAAAATGAAGAAGATTTTGAAAGGAAGGCCCTTCACTACCACGGCAGTCCCGTTATCAAGATCACCGCCGGGCACAGTAAAGATAGCGGCAAAGGCAACTGTTGCGAATAGAACAGCGACCACAGTGACTGAGTTAGTGGCGTTGTTGATTCCTTCCCTGTGGAGCTTTCTAAGTTCTTTGGAAATATTGTGAACGTTTTTATTGGTTTTCTTTGTTTGTTCAAGCTGGATATGGACATCGTTCTTGATCTGAGTCACAGTCTTTCTCAGTTCATCCCTTGGTTGGTTCAGTTCATTAGCCTTGACAGCACCATAGCGATAAAGGCAACCCCTTATTTCCGAGGCTTCTTCGGAAAGTGGAAGTGCATCAGCAATGTCAAGAGCCGTTTTTGTGTCTCTGTTCAGTGCATTAACATTGCTGTCTGGGAGGAGTAACAACTCATTCACTATCTGCAAAGAAAGACAGAATAATCAGTAATATAAATCTATAGCGGAGATATACAATCATGAAATAAAGAATCATGGCTACACTAGTTCAGCTCGAGCCAAAGATAAAACTAGTGCAGCAAAATGCAACAAAGGTCCCTAGAAACTGATGGGGGGTTTTTAGCCAACTTGATTTTTTTTGTTCACACCACACTAGAAAATAAGAACTCATAGTTCATTGCAACTATTTTTTACTGTGCAAATTAACTTAGATCAGAAAAGGAAATTGCTAAAGAAGAATAGTTCGTATCATAGCAACCATGTGCACGGATCAGATGTCCGGAGCAAGGATTTCTAAAATGGCAAAAGAATAAATCTATAACATTACACACTCTGGGAGGATAAATAAATTTTCATTACCTAGTACATACTAAAAGAAAATTACTCAAGGCATTGACTCACGATATTTGAGGGACTAAATCCGCCGTTACTATATCAAAAGAATTTGAATTCACAGCCATATATCAAACATCAGTCAAGACAAAGGTAAAGTGAGAACCCAGACATACCTCTGCTCGCTTTTTCCTGGTGGCAAT